AAAGCTCCAGATAAATCGTTGTTTTATAGCGAAGCTTCCACTAATTCCATTTGAGGGATGCGGCCCATAAATCGAGATAATTTTGGGAAAAAGGTATTGTTAATTTTAGAACTGAACGGCCAAAGCAGCTGAGAAATGAAGATTGCTTTGTTTGCTTATGTGCCTGCTCTATCCTGAAACTCAGTTATAAATTAACTACATCCTCTCTAATGAAGTGGTAATAAAAATTCGACACAGGATTGAAGTGTACACCCTAAATATTTTCTCAAGCTCAAAACACCCCGCAGCGAAAGCTCTAGATAAATATTTAAAAAATTACGCGCTTGTAAATTTTGCCGTAAGACCTTTGTAAATTCGAGTTCACTTTTATATATTTCTTCAATTACAAGAACGTCGAAATATCCTCGCCAACCCAAGGAAGCATACACATTTGGAAGCCAAATTTGATTATCTTCACTAATAATTCAGTTATTCGAAGTATAAACTTGTGAAATTTGATCCATGGAAACTCCAAAGTGGAAACTTGGCTGCCAACGTATTCAAATTTCGTTTCCATCATAACGTTTACTGCAGAGTGCAGCGGGAATGAAAGAAGATAAGGCATAAATGCAAAGCAGGCGTAAATGATGCAACTGGAGCTGAAAAATTGAGTATATTTTTTCAAACATGCTCTATTTACTAACAAAACGCTGACATGTAAAGAAGATAATAAAATTTCCGCCTAACTATAGATTTCATTTGTGAAATGAGATTTGCATGTGGCTTTTATTTAAATTTTATATACGTTTTTGCCAGATGATAAATGCACTATTTGCAAAACAGATTTTATTCAACTAAAAATTTAAACCATGTTACATTCATAAGTTAATAAAGCATTTTCGCTTGTTCAATATACTTTAGCACTGATTTATGGGGCCGAACGCTACGTTTATGAGTAGTGCCATGATATATGCATAACTTTTTCCTTTCTCATCAAGTTGGCAACTTTTCAAGTCAAAAACGTGTGGAAAATATCCTTTTATTGTTCACTTTGCTTTGCTGTTTGACATTTTGCAATTGAAACACCTTACATATTTACGATACCACTTGAAATGCTTCGAAATGCCCCATTTTTACCTCTGAAAATAAACAAACTAGATTTTGCTTTATAGCATTGGGCAAAACCCGCTTGAAATTGAATCTATTGAAAGCATCATTTCGATTTTTCCGACGAAAATCCGCTCCAAGGCTAATACAAGTAATCTTTTTCTCACCTTTCTAAGGAATTTCCAGATTTCTGGGTTGAAAGAATATGAAACAATTTTTTATTTCGTTGAAATCCAAGCCATTTAATTGCAGTAGCGTGTTGAGAATCGTTTCCGTTCCTATTTATAAGGTTGCCAAATAAATACGTGGTTATCGGAAACGTGGCAAACCAATGTCCCGATATTACAGAACTAAAATTACTTGGAAACTGTTCCTTTATATGCCCTTTTTGTCCGCTAAATCATATGTCCAGAATGAATATATTTTTTGTATAAGCCCAGTTATTTCTTCATTGTTATACTTTCGTTCACCGAAGCTCACCTGGCTGCTGGCTTGCTGTACACACTCAGAAAAGGTGTAATGAATTTCAGGCTTTTCATGCTCGACACAATAACCCCGCTTTCTAGGAACCGCAAACTTTTCAACTTATTTATCTAAGTAAGTTTGGCAATTCATACTTTGCAGTTGACTTAGAGCAGCTGAATCGTACCAAATTAATTCACAAATATCCCTGGGCTTATTATTCAATAGCAGTAATATAATATTAGTCTGCAACTGCATCCAAGCATGAGAGAATGTCTGTTTACTAAATACATATTACTTTTAAGTATATTTTGATTTGGACCGCGAAACTTTTATTTCCATTGCTGCAGTGAAAATCCCCGATAATTAAAATTTTCAAGTTGGATTTGGATGCAGCGAAAGACTTGTATTGGTTTTTAATTCCCTTCGTTTCGCCTGTCTGCATGTACGAAGCAAGAATACAGTTTTATAATCGACGATACTTTAACATTATGTTAATAGCTTTAGCATTTGGAGTAACTGAGGTGCATGAGTGCAGCTCAATAAAAATTACCATCGCTATGTGAAATATTGGTGACTAGGCTAAAACATTGCTTTCTAATTGAGAAACATGATTTTAAGCTTAGGCAATTTACTCTTAATGACAATGTATGGTTTTCAGTCTTGCCATCGATTGAGATTTATTGTTGTAACCTGAATAGCCAGTTCTAGTCATGAAGCAACTGTACGATATTTTTTGACCAAATTGAAACAATGTGACCGAATGTGTTCAAATGGAAAACCAAACCTTCGATACTAAATCCGATGCGCTTGCCGATAAGCATGATTTTTAGTTATTGGAACACCGCAGACATTCAATAAATCCCTGGGGTTTCATTAGGAATTATAGCAATAAATGCGATTTCAATGTATTAACAACAATGATGCAATTGAGAGATTGAACTAATTTACATAATTTAGTTTTATAGGCTTTCAAATCGAGATTTATGAGCGTACGAAACAGTTTTACGTTTAAATTTCCAGAAGTTTCAATGAGTTATGGTTTTATATCCTGCATTATTTGTTCGTCGTGAAATATTCATACCATTTTTCAACTTATATTGGCTATCTATTTTATTAAAATTCGTTCATATTTTTAAGATATTTCCATCGACAATACGTCGACATGATACATTGGAAATTGGCTGTGGAGATTGTTCGGAATATATTTGTCAGCAAATACACAATTCATTTTGGATGGCCCTTGAAGTCGCACCATTAGCAATTGTGATAAAAGTGCTATTTTAAAAATGTATTTTCCTGATGCTATAGAAAAGTGGCATTCAATAACATTTAATAAACTTTACCGGGCAATAGAGCAAACTTGATATGTTTCGTTTAGCAAAACTTCTTCTTCTACTTGTTGTAGATCTAGTTGATCTGCTGATTCCGTGCTTGCCTCAGTATTGTTTCCTGAGATGTGAACTGCCAGCTGTCTCTCCATTTCTTTGGTGGTCTTCCAGGACGGGTCCCTGCTGGTTTTCCCTCTAGTACAATGCGTGGTCTATCGTCGGTCATCCTCTTCACGTGGTTGTACCATTCTCTTCTCCTCTGCCTTCCCCATCTTACTACATCCTGTACGTCGCTTTATGGTCTAATGTCCATGTTTCTTAGACGATCTCTTCTTGTTTTTCCGGCTATTGTCCTTAGTACTGAGATTTCGGTGACTCGCAGCATCCTCTTGGTCTTGTTGGTATCCTCTCTCGCTTCTATAGCATATGCCATTATGGGCCTGACGCATGTCTTCTATAATTTTATCTTACTATCCTATTGCATATAAGGATTAGCCCATACAGTTTGCCTTAGACAACCTGTATTGCATTTGCCACCATTTGCATATTTACTAACCCAAGTAAACTTGTTCCCAATTGCGGCACTTGCATTTTCATTAAATCTGTCCTAGTTACATCAACTGTTTACACAGAATTATTGCGAACTAAGTCAGAGATATGAAACGAAAATGTTTACCTTTCTTTATCGCTGTCGGTTGGCGTTGGGGGTGGACCCAATTAAAAGTGGGGAAAAGGGAAACGAAATTAAGCGGGAAACCAAAGTAGATGTATAGCCTAGTTTACAAGGGTTGAGTAGAGCCCTAAATTTCAAAATTGGTGTTTGGCATTTGCATATTTGCTCACCTTTATTTTTCACTCGGCTTCACATTCGGAGAATTACGAAACAGTTCGAATTCAATATAAAACCGTCGGCCGAACAGTAGAAAACGAAAAATTGTAGTTTGCCCCACGTTTTACCTCGTATTCAAGTCCTTTGAGAACCCGGGTCTATAACTATTGTCTTCAATTGCTCCATTTATGGAGCTGCAACGAAACTGGTTAAAAGATAATTACTGGAAACAATCCCGGGGAAGATATAAAAGGAATACAAACGTACAAAACCTTATGCGTGTTGGGCAGATTAGGAAACCGACCACTTAAACGTTACAGTAATGAAAACGGCTTTCCTAGTGAAACACTTATTTCTATATTGTGTAAAGTTCACCATAATATATTTTTATCATTCATTGAATAAAAACTCAGAAACGAAATAATTATTGATACAAACAGGCCCTGATTGAAGAAGCAAAACAAACTACTAACAACCCAAATAACATCAGCAACTTATTGTTGACTGTGGAACTCAAGGTTCAATTTGGATCGTTATTGAAATCACAACGTATGCAAAATCGTCCCGTTTTATTTTCCAACTATATAGTGCTTATTCCCAACTTTAAGCGGCGCATATAAAGCTTATTCGAACAATAAGACAATAGTATCTGTCGAATAGCGCCATCCGAATATGGGATTTATACCCCCATTAAGTTCAATTGTAATGAATTAATATCTCTGCCCCGAACTAATAAAGCAAACGTTTTTATCAATCCGATGGTTTATCTAAAATGCATTTAAATATTGAGGAATTCTTCTGCAAATGATGGCAGTTAAGGGCGTCTAAAGCAATTGAATTCGTGACGGAAATCAAAGTAATTTTCTCTGATTACCCTCTTACAAAGGGTTCAAAAGGGTCCTAGCGAATACACTTTATTTAATAACCTGGCCATTGTTACCTAGAAAACTGTACATTTGTCACTGTGTGTGATTTTTTATCCTTGACATGGGCATCAAGCGACAAATTATGGGACATTAACTTCAGAGCGTCGTCCCCAAGATTTAAACCTTCAAGTGCCAACGATAGATTAATCATCAACTAGGGATGATCTACTTGTTTTGAAACCACATGCAAACTTGTTTATTTACAGTGTTACTTGAACTAAATAACATTAATTGCTCACTTATACTTCTATGGGCCTGTACTAGCTACCTAAAGTTTGAATGTTTTCATAATAGGGCAGAACGATTTATTAATACATACAAAATTGAGCGGCAAAATTAATATTAACACAAGGTTCTTTGTTTCAGGTCTAAGTGACCATGCTGCCCCCCTGCAATGGACGATGAAAAAATACACCCAATGTGGATAACCTTACTACCAATAATATGTCTTCTGTGCTTGATTCATTCAGCTGGAGGAGTACTCTGTCCAAATGGCTGCAAATGTGAAAATGAGATCCTTCGAGCCAACTGTTCAGGAGCGGGGATTGAAGTGGTTCCTATACAGCTCAACCCTGAACTACATGTGATGGATTTATCGCAAAACAAAATAAGCCAGCTTCACTATACATTCACGTTCTATGAGAAGCTGTATATTTTGGATGTTTCCCGAAACAGAGTTAAGAACATCGGCAGCGGAAATTTCAAAACTCAGAAAGTGCTAAAATTTTTGAACTTAAGCAGCAACTTTATAGATGCATTGGGAAAAGACACTTTCGAAGGCTTAATTCAGCTGACCGAATTAGATCTTAGCAATAACCAATTGGAATCGATTGGAGCTAATGCTTTTAAAGACTTACATAATCTAACAATTTTGAAAATGAATGGCAATCAGCTAGACTATTTTGAAGAAGGGACATTCAAAGTCATCCCAAATTTGCAAGCTTTATACTTAGATGATAATTCTTTTATAGAAATTTCAGCCGAATTGTCAGATTTAATACATTTAAAGGTATTGTCGATGGCAAGGAACTTAATTGAAATGATTGAAGATGAAAAAGTGCCAAACCTGCATGAATTACAAACTTTAGTATTAGTTCAAAATTTAATTCAAGATATTCAACCGAAAGGACTTGATACTATGCCTAATTTGGATCATTTAGATTTAAGCGACAACAATTTGACAGTTCTGCCGACTGTACAACTTGCTAAACTACCTAAACTTGTAAATCTTAAGTTAAGTGGCAATAAATTTAATTACCTACCAGCTGTGGCATTCCGAGGTTTATTTCATTTGAAGTATTTAATGCTTACTCGACTGGAAGTGTTGGAAGGAATGGATGCTCGAACTTTCGTAGACAATATAAACTTGGAAAAAATCAATTTAGATTACAACTATAAAATCAAAACTATTCCAACAAGATTATTTCATGGAAACCCTAAGCTGCGTTACATATCTATAAGATACAATGCCATCAAATTCCTCGTGGCTACGCATTTTCCTTTGGATCAGTTGGAAGAATTAAGGGTGGGTGGAAACCCTTTAGACTGTAATTGCTCTATGGGATGGCTTTGGAAGATCCTTCGGGAAAACGAGATCGAAAACGGAGGAAATGCAAGTTACAGTCGCAAATCCATTGACGGTTCTCTATTGCTTATAAAAAGAACCATCGAGCTTAAATTAGATGTGAATGATGTTATTTGCGAAACTCCAGAAGAACTTTACAATAAGAAATTAGTGAGTGCGAGCCAACGACAAATGGACTGCTCAATGAGCTGGATGGCTATAATGTCCGTCGTTTTAACCATTCTCTTTATATTAGGTATTGTAATAGGGGTTTTCTTCTTTATTCCAAAGAAGAAAACCAACAACAGGTTGGACAAGGAGATGCCTAAAATAATACAAACTAGTTACAACGCACCTCCGCTCCCTCCACCTCGAAAATCGTTACCAAATCATGATTCGAATAATGTGGAAAGGTATATAATGCCACCCATATTACTCCATAACAGGTCCATGCCAATGTGGGACCCATATTCCCAACATTGTAATGGTAATGGAAACATTTATGAACAACTCAATGATCATAGGGATAGACCCCACATTGTTTATGTCTAAGTATTTTTATAAAATGTAAAATATACAAATGGGCTTAATACTTCCTCAATAGTTATTTTTTAAATGTTTTTCTATTTTTTATATACCCACTGTTGAGAGTTTTAGGGCAACACTCTAAGGGGTATGAACATGTTTTTATTTGATTTGGTTTCATAACTTTGACAAGAATTTCACTCTTTGTACGTCGGAGTTTTACGAACCACAATGAAAAGACTGAATTATTGTAAAAGAAGGTACAGTAAATGGAATTTCATTATAAGTTTTTTTAAGCCTTCATTCGCATTGAAAATGATTAATGCCACTGAATAAAATACAATTAGTGTCGTTTTATTGAGTTAACATTTTCAGAAGGAGAAAATCCATTCAACCTTATAAAGCATCTCAAAGTGCCCATTCTATAAGTGTCCAAAATTAAACAAATAGAAGCCCTCCTTAAATACGTTTAACGTAATTTTAAATATATATAAATACGTATATTTAGGTATTTGTTTGTAAAACATTTTCTGTGGATGTTTAAGTCAAACTCAAAATTCACAAAATATATTTTTTTAATTAGCCGATGGAACGTGCTGGCAATAAAGAAAACTGTTTGACCGTATGGATATTGTAAACATATTAATCTTGTTAGAAACGTATATAAAAGGAACAGCAAACAGTGACATACAAAATTCCCATCTTAGACTGAAAATTTCAACGAAGGTAAAGTCCCATGTGGAAAATAAAACACTTCCTTTTAAACCGCTTTTATCGTTGAAGTTCCGAGTTTTATAACATATTTTCCTGCAATCCTAGGGCGTTTTTACGGCCTTCTGAGAATGTTTGTCGCGTTCTTCTGCAGTAAAATAATGTGAAAAGCACGATTTGCTAGTATCAACAAAACTCCGAAATTTATATCGACAAGCGCCTCAATAAAAATATAACTAATCAATGGTTAAATAAAATTAAATAATTCTTGAATTAATATATGCTCGACAAGTTTTGTTTGTTGCCAGTCAAAACTTTTCTAATGCCCATTTACTATAACAAATTATAGCTGATATCACTCATTGAAGTGCGTTATTTCCAAGTGCTAATGATTTCAACGTGAAAGAATTATTGTTCATTTGGTGAAAAAATACCTAAAATATCGCAATGGAAATAAAATACGTTATAAAAAAGGCTATTTTTAGATGTTATGTCAATGCTCGGCGAAAAAGGGTCTTTATCCAAATTTTAATTCATTTTGCAGTTGTGTTCCGCTTTTGGCTGTTTTGCCCTTTTGGGTGGCAGTGTAATAAAGAATATTCGCGAAGGGGATATGATCCAACATATCCCGCAAATTTTGAGCCTTCTGTAGGACAAGCTGCGGCAAAAGCTGCTTTTATTTTCCTTAAAAGTTTTCCGCATTTCAAAACCTCACAAGAACTCCAATCTTCCGAATCAATGAGCGTTTGCCTTGTTTATACTGGTATTAAATGCTTCCTAGACATGTTTTTCTTTTCCCAAAATAAAACATAGACAACTTTTTAATTTTAAAGAATTCCAATAAACTAAAATAAGTACCCGAACTAAGCCCGGTCTTAGGCTCTTACTGAGGCGGCAAATCACTGTATTGCATTAGTTTTCATTTGTGTTTCTTTATACTTTCACTTCCTAGAATTGTTCTGTTAAACTAAATTTACGACTCCAGCTTAGTTTTACAGCAAAAACCGTTTAAACTTCTACTGCTGAATATGCTGTTTTTGGCACATAGACCATTGTTTTTGAACATCAGCCAGAAAATTGCCAACAAACGCATCGCTAAGTAAATATCTACTCGAACATATAAAGGTATTTATTTAGAACTGAAACATTTCGGAAATACAACGCTTCAATACCTGTAAATGTTCACGGTCATCCATAAAAGGGTATAGTATAGAAAATATAATAATACTTTCATATTTACGAGGTGTTTCATATGAAACGCAAGACTAAAGGGTGTGTAATATAATAATTCAAAGAAATGTTCTTCCATTGCGCTTTTGTATAGTTGTGTATTTGTTTTAGGTAAGTTTTAAACGTACAATTTGCTATTGCGTCTTAAAGCGTTTTCATTCACATTTTTCGTTGGCAAAAGCTGCACTAAATCTATACGATAATTAATTGATACAATTTAATGAAAATGCCTTGAGAATCACGAGCCATAATTTGTAAAGTATCGATTATTTGTTATCTCGGTTAATGTTCAATGTATACGTTATGTTTGTAAATCAGGCTGTTTAAGTTACCATTTATGAAGTTTGTGGCAATACCTATGGCATATTTTTAACGAAATGTTTCTCAACTTGGCCCGAAACTTGATCAGTAATTGGTGCAGATGTTTTCTTCGATTTTCACACTGAATAGCAAATTATTTTCATTGTAAAATATTATTTTTATATATTACCTCAAATATAAATTGTTTTCACTTTGCAGTTTTAATTATTATTTCTTAGCATATTTCCACTAATTGAACACGAGTGCTTAGCATCCATTGCTGATTTATAAAAAGCGACTTTCTTCTCAAAATGAATTGCTAGTTGCATGAATTTGCTGAACTCCTCTAATGTATCTTTTATTTTCCATAGACCTTAAGTCAAAATATGTTCTTTCCCTCAAAAGCATCTCGTTTTAGCTAATGATCTGAAAGTAAAAAAAGCGAACACTCAATTTAAGTAATACTATTAGCTTCACATTGGCTGGGTAAGTCTTAGCTCGTTGGCTTGTTTGACATGCATACATTAATCATTAAAAATATGCCAACATTTGCGAAAAAACAAGTTCTTGCATTGTTAAAAGAAAACGCAAAGTCAAAATATTCAAAATGAGAGTTAATGCATATATATAAATATATTTTTGATGATAATACTTTCCCTAAAATATTGTCACTGTTGCCTTCTAAAATTTGCAAAAATCCATTCTGTACGAATCTAGAGGATGACTGATGGAAAAACTTGAATGAAACCGAAACCATCATTTTGACGCAAGCAGTTTTGACACAATTTAATATGATGTAAATTCTGAAATACAATACAAATTTTTGAAGGAAAAGTGACAAAAATCTCTTAAATCAAGTTCTGGACGTTGAAAAGACATAGTCATGAAACATATTGTTTTCTTTTAATTTTGAAAATGTATTGATAAATTAAAAATGTTTTAGCTCATATACAAGACCATGTATACTGAAATTATATTTTTTACTTTATGTAGTGCATGTATTATTTTTGTAACAGCAGATCAGATTTTCATAGTATCGCAACAATCACCTATACCTAAATGAGAGGTTTTTCCGAATGTCCACTTTCCGGGATAAGTGTATTGATAAAATTAACTGTATCAAATCACTGTTATTGATGGTCTAGCATATAATTTGTCTACGGGTAATATTATCGTTGTTCATGCTACTATGTACTTATAAATATCACTAAGTATCGTACTCTCTGTATTTCTTCTAAACTTCGGTTTTATGTATATGTTATAAATTGTTTGAAATAATGATTATAAAATAAAATCGCTAAAAGCATCAAAACCGTTTTCATAATGTAATGTAGACCCTTTATAATATGCCCTTCAAATTTTCAAACCCAAACCTATTAGGGCAAACATACAAACTTCTGGCGCAAGGTCAAGTAAGAGTTTCCCCAAAGTTTTGCAATATGATATAAATTACATACTTTATTAACTTTAAGGCCAAGGTCTTCAATTACTAGAAGTTCATGTAAAGAGAAAAGAAAGTCTCCAACTAAGACTTCGATAAGTTGGCCCAATAAAAACTTTTATCTTTGGAGTTGAAATAGATAGTCTCAGTTAAAACAATAGAAAATAAGTAAAACTTCCTTTCAGAGGCACGTGTTTTACTTAAAGAATTTCTCAGCAGACTTGTTGATAGCTGAAAAACAAAACGTTTCAATTTGGCCTCTGCAAAGGAACATATATGAAATGTTTAAACTTTACATGCTTACTTGAAATTAACAAATTGTGACGTTTCCGCTAACTTTCGCTAATTTCCCCTTAATGAAATGGAGAATTAAAAGCAAATTCAGCCCCACTTCCTGAAGCTGAAACTTGAGCAGTTGGTAGTGACAATGTGCTTGGAACAAGATTAAGGCTATAATATCCGTGTATCTGAGCGAGTTTAAGAACAAAACAGGAAGTTCTAGCAACAAATAGCGTGGCTAGATTGCAATGTGGCAGTAGGTAGTTCGTATGCGGCTTTGGACATCACTTTGCGGGGATAATATTTGATGGGTGAGTGAGATTATATGGAAGATTGGATAATGGGTACACAGAAAAACACTACATAAAATGCTCAAAACTAATCTTACCAAGCAATAAAAATCTGTGTTAACTTTATTTCATACATTGTTCGATTATTGAAACATCCCCCCACAATTGTATTATTTGATTTTATTTGAGCGATAAAATATCCAGATATTCGAGCACAATGTTTGCGTATAAATTAATTGAACAGATTGAGCATACAAAGTATGAAATATTGTGTTTTCAGCAGCCACCGTTGAAAATATAATATAACCTAATTAAAAGATTTAATTTGCATTTCAAATTCAAATAGATGCCTTGTGTAAATTGAAGTTAATTAAAGCGAGAACCCCGAATACAAAACAGAAAAGATTTTATTCGGATTAGTCAAAAGAGCTTTTTATGGATGAACAAATTTTACACCATTTTTGTTAAATGGAATTTTAATTGCATAATATTATTCATTTTATATATTTTTGGAATCATTCAGTTGTTAATTTATTCTACTACTCTATATGGATACATATAAGTATTGAATTCTGATTTGTTGAACATAAAAAATATTAATGTGCGCCCTATTCCAAATTTAGCATCCAAATAGGAATATAGAAGATTCCAGATGGCGAAACATATTTATCTGCGAGGCAGCCGTACAAAATAAATTATTTTCGGATATAGGAACGCTTAGAAACCCAATGAAAGATGTTAAGAATGAAATGAATACCAAAGGAACGTATAAATGGTTAGAAATGAAAAATCGTGTCGATTTTTCATCGGTGGAAATAAAGTACGTGTACGAGTGGAAATCATAACTCATATCTTTTGGAAGGAGTGCTAGTTTATCTGCCGAGTAGCTGAATGAAAATTGACGAATGGATGAAGAAGATAAGTCCCGATTAATATATTTTCTTTAAAGAAAGCCGCGATTTGACATATTATCAGAACCCCCGGGGCGAGGTGTATATAACACGAATTAATCCAAGGGTTTATCAGACCAGCGGTTCAACTTTGGGGTAAATCCATACGCATTGTACACAAACGGGATTGCTAACAGGATTTCGGAGTTAACAATGAATTCTGGTTCAATATAAGGAATTTATATAGGATTCTTTTGGTTAATACATACCCAAAATACTTTCAATTGGTGAATTAAACAAAATGAGCTTCCGTTTAAATTATTGCAAATCACCCAAGTGAAGATTTTTCGATAAATTTATGCCATTAAACACGTTTGACACAGACCTGGATTTAATAAAGGCATAGAAAACACTCTACAAAGGTACAATAAATAACAGCAATTAAAATCGACCAGTTTTATTTTATCTACTAGTACAAATGTTCGAATTACAGCCTTGATTATTTATTTATATATAAAAGTAACACCAACATTAGACAGTCTTCAACTGATTATTTAAGAAAATATAAACATATACCTACATAACAAAAAAATATATTTCAGAATATTTGCTGCTCATATTATTAGACATCGTCAGACGTTTTGTCAGCGAGATTGACCCTCGTATTTACTAGGTAGGTAAAATAAATACTCATTCACGGCGTCTTTCATTCCTAAACCTGTGAAGGCAACATTATAGATTATGCAAACATTGAGTAAGCCTCAGAAATAATAAATCGTACATACAGAATAATACAGCATGGTATAAAAGAGAAGGAATTAAATATATAGGAAGTAGGGGCATGTCTTTTTAATACTTGAATGCTTAATGCAACCGCTTAGTTGGTTTTGTCTACGTTTTGAATAGCCAATTTCCTTTTGGAAACGAGGAATATAACTCCAATTGCAGCCATGATGGTGGCGTAGAGAGCACAAGCGTTAATGGCTGCAGCTGCCCAAGAATTTGCACCATGTTCAGCTAGACGCATGTTAACTCCTTCCGAATTTACGTAACCAGCTGATTCCACAGATCTCGCTGATCTTGTAAGAAGGAAAGTAGGAGATGGTTCGCAGCCAGATTCTCTAACGAATTTGGCCCAAGTTCTGTTAGAAGCTGAAATTGTTCTTTGTTGTTTGAACGGTTTTCGACCAGCAACAGTTTTGTTCATAATCAAAGGCAAGCCGACTTTGTCATCGTAGCTGCATACCAGCAAGCGTTTGCGCTTGTGCTTTCCAACAGTAACATCAGCAGCTCCAATTGTGGATCCTACTAAAATGCTCAAATCGCCTTTTTCCATGTGAGCCCAATCCCATAGATTTGCGACCGAACAGTCGCATTTCCATGGATTTCCAATTAATTTTAATCTGGAAACTTGTGTGTTAAACTCGATTTCTCTAGGCGAAAAGGTCGATAACTTATTGTAGGTTAAGTCGAGGACTTCGAGTTTCGGTAAAAGTTCCAAAAAGTGGAAATCGTTCGGGGAACTGAAATGATTCCCTGATAGAATTAAAGTTGTTATATTCCTGGTCCAGAAGAAGGCATCGGGTGGCAGGAAAGTCAAATTACAATTACTAAGGTCCAAAGTTTGCAACCGAGAAAGTTGTTTGGGGAAGAGTGGGCCTGTTTTTGACACACGAAGCGGGTTTCCGGCCAGTTGAAGTTCTGTCAAGTCGGTATAGGTGAAATTGTTGAAAAACAATGTGGCATTGAGAGGACGGCGCAAACCGCAGAAGTTGAGTTCTAAACTTTCCAAACTGGTCAAATTGCCAAACAGGCCGGCTTCCAAGTTGTTAAGATCGTTACCCGACAAAATCAGGCGCCGCATCGACGTCATTTTCGAAAACGTAGTAGGAGCGATGTACGATAAGTTGCTGTATCCCATGTTAAGATATTCCAAAGTTTCCAGAGGCGCTAATAATTTAACGAACGCGTCGTTCAACGGGTTGTGAGATATGTCCAACTCTTGCAAACTCTTAAATTTATGGAACGTATCAGGCAATCGCCGTAAATCGCAATTGCTTAAAGACAGTTTTTGCAAGTTTGTTAAAGGCGATAAGGCAACTAGTAAATCAGAGGCAAACAACGTGTTCCCGGATAGATAAAGGCTTCGAATTTTGGTCACGTTTGCGAAAGTGTCTTCAGATAGTGGCACAGTCAAATTGCAATACGACAAATCAAGGGTTTCCAAATTAGACAGGCTCTTAATGCTCAGTCCCACGTCCACATCTGACAAATTATTTTCTGCCAGCACCAACACTCTCAAATAGTGATTATTAGAGAACATAGTTTCCGTTAATTGATTCACGTGCGCGTTTCGTAAATCCAAGTTTTCCAACAAAGGTAGTCTTGAAAGTACACTTTCCCAATTCATCTCCCTCAAGAAATTATTCCCGCTGAGTTCGAGAGTTTTCAAATTAAGTTGCGAAATAAATGTATCCTCCGCTATAGCGGTTAAATTGCAATGATTCATTTTCAACGTTTCCAGGCTTGTTAACTTTTCAAAGGCTCGGCTGTCCAGAATATTTAGTGGATTTTCAGATAAATCCAACGTGGTTAAGGCTGATATATTTTCAAAGAAGTGGTCATTCAGCAATTCCAGGGTACAATTACTTATATCCAAGTATAATAGAGTGCTTATCGCTAAGAAGGGTCCCTCAACTTGATCCAGCGGATTGTTCTGCAGCTCAAGTGTTATAAAACCCGCAGAGTCACTGCAAACAATATTTTATCGTAACATTTTTCACACAATCTCATTGGGCGTTGATTTGGTCAAGGGACTCGATGACATCCAACACATTACCTTATTACCAACTACATACAATTACGCACCATACGCTCTTCTGTAATAACCCATATACCATTTGAAATTGGAAATGATCCATTTCCAATTAGGCCTGGGTACCTCACTGAATTTTTAGGCGCCAGCGGAGTGCTGCGCAAATGGCTTGGTGCGCCAACTCAACGCAGCGGCGCAGTGACTCGTTGTTGAAAAAACGTGGCTTAAACGATGAGTTAAAAAATGAGCTGACATTTTTTTTTAGTTGTTTGGACCAAGTGATAAAACACTATACATAAAAAAATGTTGGTGGCCTTTTTTTAGATGTTACAATTCCAGTCTCGGGCCTCGTTCAGTTTTAAACCACTTTAATAAACAAGTTGTAACTCATCAACACAGAGAGCGGCAACAACTCAACACAGTGTTACCCAGGCCTATTTCCTTCGGGCACCGTATTCCCAAGCCCGATTTATAAATAGTACATACATTTAACAAAGTCAGTCGCCTGAACTTTTTACTCCAATTCTATACTTCCAAATAAATAAACCATCAGATAACGATGCATTTGGACCGACAACTTTGTAAATTGTAAGTATTAGTACTTTTATCTCTCACATATTTTTTCATTCATGAATCGCATGATCAATACAAATCATCAATCAATTGCTCCCAAACCAATCAGAATTTATTAATGTCTTTGAAGAAACCTCACGCTCACGTAATATGTGCTTGGGCAATTGGTATGTTACCGATGCAACCCAAAAACTTCCAGACATTTCATGTTGAGCTGGATTAATGTGAACCGATAAAAAAATGCACATTCGACTGAATTGCTTAAAATACTGAACCATTTTCAGGCGATAATTGTATGGAAATGCAGCAGCTTACTATCCAATGGATCACGATGTTCACATATTTATATTCTTAGTCAGTTGTAATCTAAATTGGAATCGGAAGCCCTTTCCTTTTTCTAATTAAAAAAAAAAAGTATAACACGAAACATAGAACGACAGCCAGTTAAAATATTGCAGCTATTACGCTGAAATATTAAAGCGCTTCATTTGAAAAATGAACTTAGTAAAGACACTAGCTTTGGAAGCATTTTAAAACTAGATTACTCAGTTATGTTAAAATCACGATTAATTTCGTGCAAGGTGCAGACTTGAATTATTCGGAATCCCTCAAAATTTTAAACACGACTCCCTTGATAGAATATACTCGTAAGGTATGATTATCATCGAGCCCCTAAACACAAAATATTATTGCGAGACATTGCTATTGTAAATGGATACTTACAAAAACAGATCAGGTTCGATCTTCTTAATGCGATTTCCAGAAAAATCAGCATCGATTAAGTAGTGCAAATCTAGAACAAGGAAACATTTCAAAGAGGACCAACTTTGAATAAAAGATAATTAAATTTAATTCCTCGACAGATGTTCAGTATATTGCTTGGTGAAGTTCCACACTTTGCATTTAAATACGAAAACCTCTCTTATAAAACGCCACTCCAAAAAAAAACAAATATCAGCACATACCTTTAAAGGAATCCTTCCTCAATTCCACCATAAGATTGTCTGCCATCTGTAACCGTCTCATTTTGAAGTCTGGAGGAAACGGCTGAATTTCAGATATCAAATTGTCGTTCAAGTCCAAAACGTATACGTTCAAGCTAAGTTCGTCATAAGGAATTTGTGTCAAGTTACTATTTGAACAGTCTGTAACCCAGTTGACTCGAAAATAATGACAATCACACTCGTCTGGACATTCTTGCTCAGCTAGTTCTCCGTTGAAGGAAAGCCCAGTCGAAAAAATACTGACCAAAAATATCAATAGTATATGACTATACGGCCCCATCTTTTTATTCTGGAATAAACGAAAATCATTTTATGATTAATTGCCAGACATTAAAATCAGTGAAGTATTGATGCTGGTGTGGTTTAAACAGTCAATAACCAGCCATATCACTTTCGAAAATATGAGATTAAGGGCGCTATGGAATTTACAAATTAATTTTCAGACAGTCGAATTAGCAATTCATTTATATATACTACTAAGTCAGAGGCCAATAAAATAAACGTAATATTTAAAGTTCACAGACGGATCGAAATTGCAGTAAGGAATTTTTCATTAAAAAATATATAAGGAGTATTTACGACTGTTGTAAAATTATATTTCCAACTTCACTTCGTTACGATTGTGATCGTTCACTGCTATGGCAGCAAATTTTGCCCAGCTAGATTCAACAAGGTAGATTATCAAGCCGTTTGAATTTATGTGACCCTTTTAATATTAGTTTCGAAACAAATTACCCAACTTTTATAAATGAAAAACGTGTAAAATGAGACCACTTGAAAAATTTGCGATAAATTAGAACTTTTAAAGTTGAAACCAGTAGTTTCATTTGAATACCAGACATCAGGGTGTTTAAAAAATATCTTTAATAATGATAACATAAAATTTAGCAAACTAGTCAATTGGAAGAAAGGATAAGAACAATTAAAAAATTCCACAAACCAATTATTTAAACTTCAATATTTGCACTGTTGGAATTGTTCCCGCGGAGTGAAATTGCCTAAACCGCAGGCTGTGTAGGTATGAGTCTACAAACAGGGGGACTGATGATAAATTCCGAATTATTCTGGAACGCATTAATGAGAAATCCATTTGCTTTACCATCAAAGATTACAGGGGAAACGTATTCTCTAGCACCAACAGCTAACGCTTTAATTTTATGGTCTTATTCTCTGTATAATTTCCAACGGAAAGAGAAAGTTCACATAAGACAAGTTTTGGTCTAGTTGTCTTATGTGAAGCCAAACTAATCGAATCTTATGTAAGGCAAAAATAATCGTTGTTAGAGGAAATATCAGCAGTTCGGCTAACACCTGACAAATACAGCAAAAAGTCCTGCGGGACTGAAATGATCCCTCTCAAATGCCAAAGTTGAAATGGAGATAACCCATTTGGATAATCGCATTATCCAGAAATAATATATAATTTTGCTGCGGGCTCTGACACATGTATAAGGGCCAGCAAATGAGTTTCATTATAAGGGTTTCTCTTGTAGCCATTAGTCCTAAGTTTGGGCATTGCTCCCCGAAATGGTTGCAAAATATAAAATACAATAGCTTTCTCTTTGGAAAATGATGTCTTTTAAGGGAACTTAAGTGTCCATTTGGGTTGCTTCTACGTGGATATAACCGTTAGACCTTTGTTTAATTGTTTTTGTCCCTGTCCCGTGGCTTATTTTGTTTGGACTCTTTTTATCTCACAAATTAACTTCCATTTGCGTGTCAATTAAGCCAGTCTCCCGCTCTGTGATCTTGTTTACTACGATCCAACCATAAAAAATAATTCTGGCCCTGACACATTGCAACTTCAATGGAAATAACCTGACTGTAAAGTTCACTAAATTATATAGGAATTTGCGTGCTGGAATCTTGATGATGGGCCTTTGAAATTACAGACTGGCATAACTTAAGAACTACAGAGTTATACAACTTTGCTGTTTTATTCAAATAAGATGACGTGTTTTTAGAGCGAAAGCTTGTGAAATTTTTAATTGAAAGACATGTGCCGCAATGGTAGACAACAAGAGGTTGAAAAACAAGCATTCATTATTTAGAGCCTCACATTGATTAGCCCGTTAACATCGTTCAAATGTGCTTGTTTGAACGTTCTAAGTATTATTGACAGTGTAATTAGACTCGCTTTAAATGAGCAGCCAATTCGAAGTGAACGGGAACAATTTGCTCTGACTGCTACTATTAAATATCTCTGGTTCCAATAATTCGTCAAACATTCATATTCAAACAATTAAACAATTTATTTACAAATTGATTGACAAACCCACATATGCAACATTAATTAGGACATTTCCAAAATTGCACTTTATTAATTTTCGGGTTAGAGTAAACCAGATCATTGATGATTTTGAATGCCGGTGGCTGAAAGAGTTAAAGAGCAGGAATTCCTCATCACAATTCCAAACGGGTCAAAGAGAAACTAAATTTTAGTTCAGTTCGTTCTTTATTTTCCTCTCTTCAATACTTGGCCAACCAAAAAAGTCCACAACAAAATACAGTCTGGGGGAGTTTTTAGGATAGAGCATGTGGGCAAGATGAGAATATTGCATAGGTAAAAGTTCCGACATTGCTTTAGAACCCAAACAGCAAAAAACTAGACCATGTGATCTAACAAATGTAATAAACTGGGTGACAGGATCCCAACTCATATTTTCCCCATTCCGTAATAAAAGAGAGACGGCAAAAAACCAGACTGTCAGAAGTGTTGGCCTCTTAAACAAAGACAAATGGCACCGGTACTTTATATTGATTTGAAATTGCTATGGTTAGGGTCATTTTCCCTGCTTTATGACTTGCAAAAACTGAAGGCCCCAAGCCTCAGGGTTAGGAATATTGGTCGATACTTTTAAAGTTTAGGGCATATGACAGCCGAAGTTGTTTAAGCGCGCCCATAATTCAGGCTACCAATTTTCCACCTCGAAAATATCAACGTTCTTTGTTAAAATATACTTTCCCGCTTGATGTAGACTCTGAACTCTCTGGGGAATTAGTTGGGCCTATGGCTAAGCCTTCAATTCATTTCAGCAGAAAATCAATTGGAATAAATAAAAGGTGGCCCAATCAGTGTTTTTATATCTGAGGGGCAAATTCGCACTTGCTTCTTTTAATTATAACTCACTCGGAATTGTGTATTTGCTTCTTCGGGGCACATTTTCCGAAAGGTTGATGACTGTCTCAGAGGAGTTTTTCCTGAAGCCACAACCGACCCGTCCCTGATCTTCCCCTTTTCAAAATTTTCCTACATTTTGCAGATGTTGAGAAAAAAATCCGAGTTAATTTACGCAAACTGTATTCAGCTTATGAATACCGAACTCTTCCCCCTGCTGGTAGAATTAGTGTGATTTTAAGGGCCGGTCTCGATTAAACCTTCTAATTATCCAATAAAGTAATCAAGGTTGCATGGTGACAATTTTCCACATGGGTGACGGATGCTTTAATTCTGGCAAATTTGAATCGTTCATTATATTTGTATTACACAAGTAACTTTCAACACATTGGATTATATTCAGACACTGCGGTAAGTGATCTTTCGAATCCTGGCGAATAATCAGATCAGTTGCAATTAAAAAAAGCGTATAGGAGGCAAAATCAGTTCTAATTTGTTTATGCTCGAATCAAAAGTTATTTACCAGAAATATCTTGCATGGCTCGGTTTATTCGTGTATATAGCAGATTACAAACTATTGTTAGTGGAGTCAACCTCGGGTGCCACCGGCAATTGAAACCCACCTTTTAATGATTATTTTGCTAGGCATTATCAATTACCAGATCATCTCTCTTGGGCACGAAAAATACGATTTGGCATTGAAAGCTCATCTGAAAAGCGCTAAGTGAAATAAACAAAAAGCGCCATATACTACAGAAGCTGCAGGGATTTGGTGCGCTTTAGCTCCCGTTGAAACAAAATTAAACAAATAGTCCTGCGGATTTAATATTTTATTTACCTGCCTTCAGTCTTCGCTAAACGTAATTTGATGGAGAATTAGGCTACAGCAGGTTCCTAAAGATCTTGGATAAGAAGGCAAGTGCTTCTGAATGGATAGGAAAAAATCGTTTGAAATTTTCACAGTTTACCTTCGACATTCGTCGACAAGAAATTACCAAGTCAAAGAACCAGGTACGAGGAAATTAGCTATTTATAGCAAATGCGCTTCAAAAAATATGAAATAAATAAACAATGACGGCGATTTTGCTGATATTGTATTAGCAGAGTACGAAATTTGTCAGACTCTCTCTAATTAGTTAATTAGTTCGCTAAAAATAATAACCGATTTTTTCTAATTTGCATAATGTTGCTAAAATATGTGGTTTGGCATAGCTGTGGAATTAGCAACCGATGACCACAACAAAAGGATGTAAAAATTTGAGAATTTTGCTTCAAAATTTAGGAAAATTGTTCTCTTTCTTATAAAAGCTCTTAGTTGAATCTGTGTTTCCAAAAACCCTAAATTTCCACGCAAACTAAAAATGTTCGAAGTATGTATCCTCCTGAACCTTATAGAATGTATTTAGCAACCAACACTTAAGGCAATCATTATCATGCATTTCAAACTAAAGCCCGAGAATTTGGAAACGAAAAATGCATTTTGCAAGTAAATAAATTCGCAAATTAATCGAGTAAATATAGCAAACGTACAGAGGCACAAAAACCTGGATTTAATTCGATACGTTTAGAGTTTCTTTTCTTTTTGTTTTTTTAATAAAACTCGGCGGGTTTCTAATTTTCGGGTAATTTTTCGTTCCAATCTGCTTCGTGTTCTGCCGGACAGACAGTTCTGCGGATAATGGACAAAACTTAACTTGTAGAAGAATTAATGCACTTTAGATTGCACTAGGCCATGGGCTTTAAAGACCCCTGTAGGAAATTAGTTCTCTCACTTAAATCAACAGATTACAGAAAGTTTTATACTTTTGACATAGTTTATGGAATTCTTGGTATCTCACTTTTAATTAGTTCCGGAACTATAAAATAAAAGCTCTATGTAACTTTCTTGTTTTAGTTAAAATTAAGTACCTGCAAAAGGGAACGTTGATGGCTCGCAGCGCAGCTCAAAATGCAACTAACATTGCAAAATTAAATTAGATTTACTTACGTACGTACAAAATTGATTGAATTATCCGAAGGATACATGAAAAATACTAACCAGCTCTAAAGCAGTTTACGCAACTAGCGCTCTAATTGAATTAGATAACAAACTACGTAGGCCCTGAAATCTCTTAATTCAATAATTTTAATAAAAGTTCGCAATGTTTTGAAGTCAGTTTTCAACCAACACGCAATTATTTTGTTTCTCTGCGTTTACTTTGCAGGATTTAAAATTCCCATTCGGTTTTCTCCTGCCACGGGGCTGCACAATCAAACGAAACAAAGTTAAGCACTTGCAAAGCATAATCTGTCATGTTTCCTTGCTTCTGTTATAGTAACGTGCAAACAACAGCAAGGGCCGAACTGGTATAAACGCAAAGAGTTAGTTTGGGTTAATCATGGGGCGATTTCTGATCAAGTCAATCAACATGTCGAATAATAATTTCTAAGTTTTCCGCATAGCCCGCTGCAAAAACTATTTAACTGAAATATCGAGAAACGTTTAGCTGCAAATAAAACAAGTTTCTACGTAGCCTCAGCTTAAGACCGCAGTAATACTGTCGAGTAACTGGATTTTGTGGCAATAAGCTGCAAAATCGCAAAATAACCCAAAAGATCTGGCACAGATTGTGGCTGGAGCTCCATTTATTTTGGCCGTAATCAGGCCCAAACATGATGGTCTCGAGGCGTTTAACTTAAATTGCCAATTATAAGATCGATTTTACAATTTTGGTCATAATAAAGCGCAATACCGTTAACGATCGTCTGCAAAATTCTTCCAAATTAGTCATTAGTCTCTCGATGTGGAAATTTTACAATCTTTAACTAAATGCTAGGACTAGATCGCAAAAACGAACCAATCAATGTTTTAGCTTTCAGTTGAAGTATCGGCTACGATTATATGAAAATAATATATATTTAAAGAGCTAGCAGATAAACTGATTAAATTCTTGTCATGTCCAAAGGTTCGCATCAAGCACCTCAATGGAGGCAGATTTTTAAAATAAAATTCTAGTTGAACTTTTTAATTGGTTTTCGCTCATTCTGATTGCCGATATTTGATGGTAATTACAAAACTTTGGCCTTGCAATCGGGCCACAAACAATTAAGCCAAATTTTCGTTTTCAAACCGCTTATATGCTTACAACTAAAGCAGAGGGCTTGAAATTTGCGGTCGACTCCTTATTTTTAGTTCTAAAATTAATTAAAAGTGAGAATCATTTAATGCTTTAAACTAACTGAACTATGCCAGAAGTATGAAAACTTTTGCTTAATGTTCTGATTTAAGGGCGGAAATTAATATTAGGGGAGGTTTTTTGAGTAGATTACGTCTTGTAGTTGAGAACTAAATTGTGCTAAAGTCTCAAGATGAAATAGGCCTGTATTTAACTTCTTGGAAATTAGTTTCCATCCATGGAACTTACAATTCTGATAATGGATTTTGAGATTACTTTGGCTGCGATGTAATCTTGAGTAAATTTAAAGAAAATTTTGATTGCAAGAATTCCGCACCAATGAAAATAATGCTAAAAATATTCCGTCATTCCGAATAATTGATTCCAAACTACAGCGTCAGTTGCACATGTACATAATTTCATAAACACAGTTACTTTATAAAATTGATGCACAATAAGGTGGGTTGAATGGGCAGCAAATCATGCCAAGGCTGCACACAAAAAAGTACTGCTATAAGCGTTTCAAACCAGATAATAGAATGACATTTTTGAAATTGCCCAATTAGAGGAATCTGAATTCAGACGAATAAAGTTAATAACACTAAGTGCAACCGAGAGCTTAAAATGCAAAGGAATTTGAAGTTGTTAAATAACGAACGAGTTCAAAAACTGTCCACCAATGAGTCCAGTCCTGGAAAACAAAGTTGGTTACGACCCCCAATTTCCAACTGAATAGAAATTAACTTTGCCGAAGAAAATGAAATCCAAATTCAATCGGAAACATAAACATGGTTATGCCCAATCAAAAATGTATGAAATCAAAATGGGAAAGGAATGCGAAAGGTCGCAAACCATTAAGCAACGACTTTTAATTTAAAACCGTAGTTCTTAATCATCAATCAAAAGCCAGAGCTAATTCAAACTCCCGAGCTTTTAATCAGTAGAAAGCCAAATTAAAATTTTAATGAACAAAACGAAAGTCTGGTTAGGACCTCCTGTTTATTATTAACATTGTGGGAATTTGGTTTAAATTTAGTACGACTTTTCAAAGGAATTCGAATTGATTTTGAATTTTGAGTAAGTTACTTTCTAATGAGATGAATCAGCTGAATAGATTCGGAATATAGCGAAAATTACCGAATTATTATTAATATAATTGAGTTGCTATAATTAGTTGTTTGGTCTGAATAAAATAAACTATACCAAGGCTCTTAAAAGCAATTAAATTCAGGTTGGAATAGTAAAACATGTTTAAAATTAAGCTTAATGGAAATTACCTGAATAATTAGCAATAGTTTATTTTCAACGCCCTTAAGTTGAAGAAATAATGGGTTGAATAATCAGAAAATTTAAATTTTACTTCTCAGCAAGCATTTATACTGTACTAACCATAAACATTTGTTAAGATTTGATCGTCTTCTGACAACTTGCATGTTAACATTCTTTACTCCGATTGCCATTTGTGCTTTCTTGCTTTGTTTAGCCTTATTAGTTATTCTACCAGTTACATAATATGCTACTCTTAATCACTCTAGCATATTTTTCATTACTTAGCACTCATTTTTCCACTAAACCAACCCTAAATGGCGTTAACTTTGCACGCGACTTTACAAAGCATTTTTTAAAGCTGTATTATTTAACAGCAGTCGTTGACTTTCTGTCGCAGTGCTAAAATATTCGTGGTCGATAAATAATGTAATGCTTTGACTAGCGTAATTCATCAAAGTCGGGAAAAGGCAGATTTTCCACTGTTTTCCCTCTAAAATGTTTTGTTTTTGATGATGTTGAATGCGATATCAAAAACGCACACTTTTACGAAGAAATGAGCAACATGAAGGTAAAACATAGAAAATTCAGCAGCATTCTTGAGCGAAATTCAATCCAAATACGCCAGGGAAGAATTGGTCAGTTAATTGTTATGAAAAAGCATAAAACAATAGCTTTCCCTGCAGATGGTTCCCAGCGCTGTTTTGTTGAATATTTTAGCCACTGTTTGCCAAAATATGTGAATTCACCTGTATTTTTACAAGAACAAAGAACGCCCTCGAGACATTATTTAACACAGAAACATCATGGTCTTCGCCCACTTATGGGAGAAATGTATGTGAACGATGTGTACATTTCACATCAGATCGCCAGTATAGCAGATTAATAATCCAATGAAACGGAATGGCCTTAGATGCTAATTGAATCTAAATAATAAGGCCAGGTCCAGAAGCAGTTTCCCCAAGAACAGTAGTATAACATTATTGTGTGAATTAAATCGTATTTGCCATAACAGTAATTCTGCAATGCCAACATAAACCTATGTCGGTGAAGGTAAACACATACCTAACTTCGGCTAGTAATTAGCTTATTAATTATTATGCAAAATATTACATTTCAGGTTGATGCTTACAGTAACAATCACGGATCTAAGTAGCAATAGAGACATGATAGGAGTCACGTAATTAACATCAGTGCGAAATTATTTACTAATGTTATTTCACATTCCCTTTTGGAAGTGATTGTAGTGCCATTGGGAGCAAATCGTTAATAAAAGTGAAAAAACCAAATTAGTCGAAAAACCCCTGTGTGCAATGCCATGACCCAAAACAAAGGAAATTAACAATTACATAAGATAATTTGCCCAGCTTTAAATAATGGACATGGATGGCCGGAAGGCAATGCTATTCAAAAACCAGAAGCTAAACAATACAGTCCATCAAGGACAGACTCATTAATATTTGATCACGAAAGACATTTACATGCCAGCATAAAAGAATAGTTTTGAGGAAAATACCTTCAAACCCGTGTCTGAGAAGCGAATGATCTTCAATTGATGAAAATGATCTTCAATTTGCGATGTTAAGAAGCGTCGCACATTATGCAACTGCCATAAGGAAGAGCAGCAAATAGGTTTATTTCAGTTCAGCAACACTGTTGACATGATTATCACTAGTTAACACTAATAACTAAATTGTAGCCTTGGAAGAAAAGAAACCATAACGCCTGACATAGTCGGAGTCATGTGCCCGTACATTTCCTATTACTCATTTCTTTTATGTATCACTTCCATAGTCTTCGGTTTTTCACTAATATTTTTTATGAGCAACTTGTTTGTCTTGGTGCTCGATAGCTGATTTTACGACGGCAACTAAATATTTGCAACCATTTATTAACCTATTGCTTAGTTTGGCAAAAACTACATGTTGATATTACATACGCCTTCATATTACATCGTTGCTAGTTACAATGATAAACAAAAACAGAACTTTCACAGGAATTGGCCAATGGCTATGAGAAAGGGACCTACTTTCTTAAGTTTTTGTAAAATTTGCAAGGCTCGAACACGAAGAAACAGCTGATCTAATCTGATTGAAAATTAAATTTCCGAAAATATAAGTTGGAGCTTCTTCAGAATTCTTGTGGGAAGTAAAATATTTTCCTGTACTATGTCTGGCGACAACGCCAATCTTCATGTGCGGGTTTGTTTGGAACGAAAATAAGGTGTTTCCAAATGCAAATGAGAGCTAACAATGATAAATTCTAAGCTGAATTCCCCCAAGAGCAATCTCAAGTTGGAAACAGCAAAGTTTTCCTAATTGGATGCAAAAAAAAGGACAAAATCCGTAGTGATTCTCAACTTTTAACAATCCAATCATTATCGCTGAAATGATAATTGGCTGGATTTAGAAGGAAACAACCCTTCTGCTTCATATGGCACCCTGCGAATATTTTAATTAGTATCTACCTTATTCTAGTTGGGTAAATCCAGTTCACACGTACTCGAAAAAAAAACTAATTCGACTTTTTCACTAAATCGAAATTTAAACGTCGCGGGTTTAGAAAGTTTAAAACAACCCTGCGTGCGCAGCCGGCAATTGTTACTTACAGGTACAGACCCCAGTCAAATGGAATCCCTCAAGTGACAACTGTGAAGTTAACTGCGACCCTTAATCTCGAATTTTCGGTAAATAAACAAACATTTCACTTACCTGATGCAGTAAATTAAGGCAACTTTCGAATGTCAATCACTGGGCGCATGACTACACTATAATAACGATAAACATGCGAATAATAATGCTTTGCATTCTCGGGTCTGGGTTGTGTGCGTTCGTCAAATATCGACCCGAAGCCTTCTTCGTGTATCTACGTTCAGCAATAGTATAGCTCGGAAATGCGTTGCTGACCTATCTCACTAGCTATATACCATTTCACTATAGTCAGCGGGCAAAAGGATTTTTCGCCTTTTATGCGACACGCAAACTAAATCAGAAAATTGATTTAGATATTTTTAAAACGGTTTTGTTTAAAATTTGGCGTCGTTTTTTTTTTAATTCCTTATTTTGAGGTTTTCCAAAATTCTTCCGGTTGCTTAAAATTGGCCGGGGAAATTTTTGATAATTGCCTGGGAAATCCGGCGCTTGCAAGTTCTCGCGTTCGCGATCCGCAATCCGATCATCTCATAGAATATCAAATTACAAACAATTTTCCTGTGGATCTTTTGATAAAATGCCGTTTTTCACCCACTGAAATTCGCCACATTTATTGGGCGAAGAGAAAAAATCGCGCATTTGCCAAACCTATCAGTGGTTTTTACTTGATTATTTTGCTACGTTTTGTCGCTATTGACGGCTTGACTTGCTGGGCTTGGTTTTTCCGGCTGGATCAAATTTTTTAAACAACCAGATAACTTCCATAAAAAGAAAGAAGTTAGTGGGTTGAATCTGAACTGAAGACGGGCATTGCGCTGCGCATCTGGAACGCCTAAGCGCTCTACCCCCACCTTCAATCAACAGGCACGGGACGGTATAAATACCGCAATAGAACCCGTTGAAAAATCAGTCATCGGAGCAGAGATGCCAGGTCTACCGATTTATCGGTAAATCTACCGATCTACCGGTACCATGCCGATTTCTACCGAAAAGTAACAAAAATTGAAAAAATGTCCGTGGATTACTTAAAATAATATAACATAGTTCCATTCATGATCAAAGTATGTTCATGCAATCAAGCCCGCCATATAGATCATAAATATGATAAAATTGTGTTTTATGGATCCTTCAATAGTGAAATCAGGTTCCCTACAATCCGATACTTCTGATGTTACAATGATATTCCCAAATTTAATAAATGATAGTGAATTACAAGGTCTGGACACAGAATGACGTCTGTTGCGAAATGTTAAAGAAATTTAAAAAAATTCTGGAAATATTGAGTTTTGGAGCCAAGTACAAATATTGAAATATGGAGGTGATACATTCATGTTTCCAATTTTAACCAATTTTACTTGTAACCTGCTTATTCTACCTCACTCATCAGCCAAGTTGAACGGATATTTTCACAGGTTAATCTAATGAAAACTAAGTTGAGAAATAAGCTAAAAACGAGTACAATTTCATCTTTACTTCTTTGCTGACTCATGTTTATTTTAGTATTCCTGTTTAGTCTAAAGTTTAAAGTTTTAAAAAAAGTTTTAAAAAAAGTTTAAAAAATTTTGAAAAACGCGCAATTTTATGGAGCCTTTAATGATGACAGAAAAATGAGTCTACCGATTTTCTACCGAAAAGTGTCGCGATTATCTACCGAAACTCGATTTTCGGACCTGGCAATCCTGCATCGGAGAGCGACGCGAATGACAACTTCGATAATGTTCACCGCAGATGTAAGCGAAACGTCAGGAAGCAATTCCGATCATCCATGGCCTAAAGCCCGTAAAAATTTCAATCAATTAATTTTATTCCCCTTACTTGGAATTGATCACCTCTATCTTAGTTCTTCCGGGCATAGCTAGTTCTTGCGCACATAAATAGTATGTCTGGAAAGTTGGTGGTTTAAATTGCATCCATAGGGCTTCCGGTCGCCTTAGTCTCCACATCGTTTTCTGTAGAATCATTCTCTCGCCAACAGTTTTACACCGCTTTAACGATATCGGCGGCATTAGAATAATGCTTTTCAACAGAATATAAATTTTCTCGCGCTTAAGTAAACTGCCATTTAAGGCGTCCCGCTTTTCGGAAAATTGACCCTGTTTCCACAGAAGAAAAATTGACTTCAAAGTGGAGCATATATCTTGCAGCACTTCATGTAAACACCAAACCTCCTTTCGTCGGATATGATAAATTTTTAACCATCAACGCCATATGGAAAATGGTAGATAATACAGTGTTATATGGTGGCGATAAATTTTTAATAATCTGTAGTGGAGAGCTAATTAGAATATTTGTTATAGAATTTGATCGTTTCGATTTTTAAGTCAATTTCAACAGTCTGAAGAATGCTAGAAAATTTTCCTATGTACACACATCTATCTGCCCTGCAATGCATAAAAATGAGCTGGCGAATTCAAAATTTTATCTTGAAAAGCCATTTAGTGTTTCCACAAGAGGAAATATTCTTTAATGGTCTTAATGCTACTTAGCGAAGTCGCAAAGTAGCTATTTTCTCTGCCTTTATCTCTTTAAAGTGCTAATCGTTGTTCCAGAAAAATTATTGATTTATATAGGTCAACACCCAAATCGCAAACTAAAACTTGTCGAGTTCCATTTAATAATGAACTGAACTCCCCTTTAACTACCTCTTTAAAAGAGTGCATTTACAAAGTTTTTTTCTTCAGTTTTTACATTTAATCGACATTCCCCTTTTAAACAAAAATATTTATTCTGAAATAATTTCCGGCTTGCTTCCTTAAACACTGAAATTTTTACCGAATCAATTATATTAGCGAAGCGTAAAAAGTAAGTTGGGCTATTAAAAATGTAAGACTTTTTCCCTGAATTAGTAAGTAGCGTTAATTATCCACGTCTCAGCTTTCAAAACAATTTAGAACCGGGAGAAGAAGGAACTGCAAGTCTTTTACTTAAACTCTGTAGCGCTGCTGTATGCTTCATTAAAAATAAATTGTTTTTAACCGAGCTACCAAGAAATGAGTGAATTTAAATAATAAGCTTAAACTTTGATGTTCGGGTAATTTCGTAATACCTTGGTCAAATATTGGAGTGGCTGTTAATTAATGATCATTGATTAGTTTATAAATAATTTGCTGCCTTTATTTAGGCATTGTTATATAATTTAGAAGATTTTTTGGGATATTAGAGTTCTTCTTTCCAGCTACTAAACTTTGGAAAATATAGAATATTTTTTTAAATCTAAGAAAAAGGTTCTTGATAAACAGTTTTACATAGTCTAAATCGAAAAAAATCTTCTGGTACTCATTTTTCAGACGCATATTAGGTTTTTCTGAAAATATGAATCAGTTGGCTCACAATTAAAGTGGCAGCTTTTTACTGACTACTGAAAAAAACATTGAAATGTGCAATTACATCGATCTACCGCCGAAAAGCAGCTTTTGCATTAAAAAAAATATTTCTACATTTGTCGGTTCCAAAAAATTTCTAATTTTTTAGCTTAATTTCAATAATAGACATTTGTTTATTTGCCCTGAAGCAAAAAAGCTTTGCTCAGAAGCCAAATTGAAATTTTTTAGAGACTTAACATCTGATGGTTGCAACTTATTTCTACAGTCATGCGGAACGTTTTCGAAAGAAACTCCTAAAATTAACAGTGGAAAAGTTTTCGTGCAATATTTAATTGAAACTATCGCCTAATGGAATACGGCATGGTTTTCCTCTGTCGCTATATCTATATGCATCGCTGGTTTATTCTTGCAAATATATTGATAGATAAGAAAATCTTGTAATAGAGCACCCTCCATAAAGCCACGTCTGAAAGCCTCTCACGGCCAATCTATCAACTCAAAACAACTTAGATACTTGCTTTTTACGTCAGCATGCACGCTTGTTATTTTCAATAAGATTGTTACAGAACAGTGAAAATATGATTCAGTAAAGGCACTATACCCAAGTAGGTATGACATTAAATTTGTTTTTTCAATTTTCAAACTCCCAGTTGCAAAAGCTTTCTAAAAATGCTTTAAACTTTCATATTGCTTAATGAATATCAATATACTTTCAAAGAATCCAATTAATTTTTATAGAGTTGATGCAAAGAAAACGATTATTTTTGCTGATACACAATGTCCAAATTAAAGACCCGAATGGTTGGAGATACGTGTCTGAGGTAAACACTAAAACAGAAGACTGTGAAAATCTTGAGACTGAAAGGGTTCAAAAGACTGGTTGAATCAATCACCATTTACCCAGACGTGAGCAATGCAAGATTTCTCGCTAAGCTAACTTCGCATAAAGAATGATCATTTATCTCACCTTTCTGAAAAGATGAATCCACATAATTCTAGAAACCAACAAACATACGCTTTATTTTTAAGTATGATATTTATCTCTCTGTGATAGTAAGTGATGCAAATCCTTGTCAAAGCCAGTGGCTTAGCTGTGCGCCGCATACTCTAAGACGAGGCGCTTTATTCCAACCCCTTTTTGGGCCATGAGAATTAAGACAAATGATTCTACAAAAGCAAGAAGATGCTGCATAGTAGATCAGAGCTCCTGAACGCCGGACCGTTTAAAGAAATTGATTATAATTGGAAACTCGTCGTTACTACGCTATAGATTTTCAATAAACCCGGGAATGGAAACTTACCGAAAGGATTATTAAGTTTGGGTTCGAAAAGACGGAATTTAAAGAAAAGCTATGATCCCATGAGTTAAACTTTCGGAACCATTCGCTTAATATAATTGCCAAGCATAAAACCTGCACAGTGAAGGCGAACACTCAAGGTTGCCTCAATCAGGCAAAAAATCTGAGTGATATATTAATTTTGAGCGTCTGGAAAAACCTCGTCGTCTTGATCATTTCAGTCGTATTTTCCCTTCCCATCTATTTTTCCTTAAGTAGTATCATTAACGCCGAGCTCAAACGCCTGTTTTCAGTTTCGAGCAATAAATCAAGCGAATGATGGACTCTAAGCAGTCCCACTTTAGCAATAGACAGCACATCTCTTAATGGCCTTAATAGAATTTATACTGTTAATATTTAAATAATTTCTGAGCATTAGAATTATTGTTGGCCACTGGTAAATACTGCAAAAAATAGTTTAAGCAACACATAAATCGGAGGTTGATTTGAATGCATTTTATCATAAAGTATGTTAGTAAACTAGTAGATAAGTATTTGAATAGAATATCCATTAAAGTAAAAAGGGAAATGAACGCAACTAAGGAAGGTGTCATCGGACTTGATAAATTTAACATAAAAAAGGTCGCCTTTCTAATTTAGGGTGATTCACGCAGGGGTTTAGATCCCACGAGGTCTCAAAGAACTTGAAAGCTTTCGCCTAAACATTCACTTCAGGCGCTCTGATTGAACTTTTTACGTCTGGAAACGGCCCTCATTGAAATTCATTAGCCCAGATCCTGTTTCTTGCGATTACCGCATCTGAACCTCCTTAAAGCTGTATAATGGATTAGTTCCATTTGTTCCGTCCAGAAAAGACTTGTACCTACTCATCGCTTATCGATCTTTGAAATGCCAAAATTATACTAGATAATACAAGAACAAGCAAATAGTTACGGGGTTTATTAAGTGAACTTGAATCCACTTTTACCGAATGTTGATGGCACTGAAAAACAATTGGTTGAGAAAATATTCATGGAACAATCCTTTGAGCACATACAAAATGACAAGTGGACTCTCTCTAATTAGGCAAAAGCCAGAAGGGCATGAAACGTCAAGGGTTTACACGTTCGCACTAGCAATTACAGACCGGAGCGTTGAGAAGTGAGTTTTCTCTCTAGACAATGACGAAGGGCCTATATATTCTGAAGGAGAGCCGGGGTGTTTGTCTCTTGTGAGGTGACGCAACGGAATTAATTTCAAATCCTGGCATTTTCGCCAAACTAACGGAGCACCCATTATTATGGTTCGTGGTTTGCTAATATCAGCGTGAATGGCGTAATTGTTAATTTTCGGGAAAATGGCTATTTCAAGTCTATTACACTCTGAGATTGGCTGTATTTATGCCGCGAAATATAGCTGGGGCATTAACTAGTGTGTTGCTATTAACGGTTTTTTCTTGCCTCACCTCTTTTACTGGAAACCCAATATTGGTTATACTTAACGCATTTGTAGCAATTGATCTAACAGACCAAATCGCCCACTGGACCGTATAACCGCTAAACAATTTCAACACTTAAACTCTTTACTTAACAAATAAACCCTATTTCAAAACATTTAAAGTTCAGCTACTCGTTAATCAAGATAAACGTGCACATGTTACTAGCACGGGCAATTTTTATCAAAGTTAAAACTTTCAGAACATTATGACTACGGGATGTTAGTTCCCTCTGTACCTACCATAATTAGAAAAACTGCCGTTAAAAAGACCGCTTAATAATCGCAAGTTGCTCTTCGACGAACGAGAGCAGAGTCTCCAAAATTCGCGTAGATGGAGCTCGACTTGGTTGCTCTAAACTGTGCCTCAATCAATAAGTGTTCTATCCCAAGCGACTCAGTCACCCAAATGAATAATTTGAAAAAAACCTTATTTAAAAAATTATTTTCCTCCTGACTGCATTGCAGTCTAAAACTCTTTAATAGTGAAGCGGGATTGTATTTAAGCATAAAATGCTTGCTTATAAACCAAACAAGACATTGCAGCTTATATTTGGGGTAATTAAAGGAGAAACTTTGGAGCAACTGAACTAAGAGCGCGCACTAAAGAATTTACTACCTAGTGGTAAAACGACGTGTAAAATTAATTGAGATTCAATGTACCCAATTGCCATGCTGAAGATACATTCTACACAACTTTACTTGGTAGAAACTAGTAATATTTAAATACACTTTGTATTTCTTCGGCTACGTACAATTAACATTATCAAGGGTTTTTTGTGCATGGAATTGTTTGAAATTCGGATATTATATGCGCGGTTACTTACTCGAAAAAACTGAATTCGATGTGGAGTTGAACAGTTATTTTTCGACGCTATTTTCGCCAGGTCTTGATGAACAGACAGTTGGCGACGGGATTATTCTGACTAACATTAGAAAATACTTTTAGATAGTAGATGGATATGAAATTCGGGAAATATCTCGGAGAAGGAATACATCAATAATTATAACTCATAATTCCTGTGAAAATTATTAAGCTTTTATTGATATAAATCAGGTCAAAAGAAACGATCCGCACCAAAAATAAAACAAGACATTTTTGCATTCACCAGTGAAAAAAATCGACCCTAACTTTTATCAATCTTCCCGTTCCACTAAAACTGACATAGATTTACATACATTTACTTGATTGTTAAAGAGAGTTAATGTACTGATCTATTGTGTTATACGCGGAAGATAAATCCTGCACCATTTTTTCCTTTGTCCAGAATTTCACCTGAGTGAAAGCATCCGATGTAGAAACATCGATTTTTTCAATAGTCACGGGCACAATCAGTCTGCAACCACCAAAAGAAGTGTTTAATTTATTTTTAATCGAACACCTAGCTAAGACTAATGATAATCAAGAAGCAATGCGAGTGAAACTGGAAAAACAAATAGGGAAATGTAAAAAAACTTGACGTATTGGAAAATAAGGCATAATAAAGTCTAACGAACTCAAATAAGCCACTTACCGTATACAATGCAAATACATCCTAGGTGGTTGCACATCCTTCCTATTGCTGTAGGTGTAATCTCCGACAATAGTGTGCCCTAAATGCGAGCAATGAACTCGTATTTGATGTCTTCTGCCAGTAATAATCCGACACAATATTTTTGTTGCTGGATAATTTGCGAAAATTCCTTCATCTAGAACGGTTATTACAGTTTGTGCATTTCTCGGATTCCGACAGAAAACAACATTGTCGGTGCACATTTTATGGATGGCAACTTCACGTGCATCATCACCTATAAAATAAAATAACACAAAACTTAGAGCAGTGATCATTGGTGCATTATTATCGTAAAAACGAAGCTTATGCACTTCGAATCACTAATTTGGCAAAACTTCTGGTTATCAAATTTCGAATTTGCAGAAGGATATTTTCGCACAACAGCTCAATAAACGTGATACAGATGCTAAGGGCGAAAATAATCCATTTGAGCCATTGGACAGAAAGTATTAAAATCCGAGTAGATTTTAAATATTTACGTCTTTTGGCTATGTAGTACAAATTTCCTCATTTAACTACTTTAGGGCTAGAAATTTATGGTTTCTTGTACTCACCAATCGGCAGATTAATATCCACCAAGTCCGCAGAAAATATACCACGAACGATGGCAATATAATATTTCTTTGTGTCTCTCTCTGAGAATGCTTTAGCGACTGCTCTACATGCTTTTTCATTTTTAGGTATGCATATAATGCCACTGGTGGGATAGTCCAGACGATGTGGAAAGTAATATTCGTGGAAGAGTTTTTTCTTTGCCACAGCTGGACATTTGCTTTTCAGAAACGTTTGCAGTGTTCTCTGGAAATGATTGAAACATGGAAAAATAAACGGGTATAAATGGTTGAAAGCCCTAAAAAGTACACAGAACAGTGCCTTTTTCCGTTAGTCCATTCCAATACGATTGATTCCTTTTGATTTTGTTAATTTTTACCTCATTTTTGTTGTTGCTATTGATTTTTAAATCAGGCTCTTTATCCACGATAATGTAATTTTCACTGCAATAGATTATTCTGCACTCACCCTGAGATTTAGATCTTAAAGCCTCAAAAACCTTTGCTACAAGTGTGTGTAGAATCACGAAGCTAAAAGTGAATATCATTTGGGGCCTCACTTTGAAAATGTAAACACTAAAGACAATGGGGGTAAACAGGTTATGTACAGGAGCTGCTACTTGTGAAGTGGCGGATAGAGTTCGCCACATATCTGTGGATAGATGGTCGTGGCTGAAGAACGGAAAGCCGGAAGAATCGGAAAAGTGAAAAGGCACATAAGCAAAAAGAACACGCACGTAATTTTTTTTAATTTAATAAAATTCCGCTGTAAAATAATTTCTAGTTTCCTGCAAAATAAAAGAAAATATATTAAAATCCTTCCTAGTATATGAAATTTTCCCGGAAAAATTTCAATGCGTATATAAAAAAAAATAATGTTTATCTAGACGCACGGGTTCGTCGAATTGCGTGTTCGCGAATGGATACAGGACATTTTAGAGACTGGATGCTACTGAACGGATTTTTAGTGAAAGGGCCCCAAATCAACACTTTGAAGCGCTTGCGCCAGGTTTGTATGTTATTTTGTTCTTTTTTAGGAAGGTTGTCTAATTATCAAATTTGTAGATACAAGGCATCTTTGTAATATTTCTAGTAATATTCGCAATTTAAAAGACTGACAATGCCTGTAAGAAGAGCCCTACACGCAGGAAGCTGGTACACTGATTCAGGTAAGGTCAATGAATGAATTACAACTAGCCAGATATCAGCTGTTTATTTTGGTCTTGTGTACTCTAACTACATTCACCTCTCGTAACTGAAATCTTTGGATTTCTTTCAGGAGCTGAATTGTCCAGACAATTGGACCACTGGCTTAACCAAGCTGATCTAAGCCATGGGCCTGCCAGGGCAATAATTGCTCCGTAAGTAAACCAAGCTATCATATCTAGTTTCTTTCTTTATTGTCTATATTAGGCATGCACAATCATTCACCTTAAACAAGTTTATTTCATTTTCACTATGTATAGTATTGATTTGTACATGTTATAGTTTTAAGTTGTCATTTGACTAATATTTCATTTACATAAATAGGTAGGGACGTATATTTGTTAATACTTTATTTGGCGCACCTTTCTATTTAAAGGTGATTATAAAGTTTCAATTAATCCCATTAATTCCCCTTATCCGAAACACGTCAGGTGAAGCTAAAAACAACATTTTCGTGTAGGGAACATTTTTAGATAATTGAGACAGATACATTTACCTACTCAGGTGGATTTAACTGACTATGGATTAAAGGATTTCCTAAATTTGCTATCAGCATATCGGAATTAAATATTTAGCAAATGTATTAATAAAAAAATAAGGCGCTTTCCTGGTTTCAAACCCCTTGCTTTCGAACGGAATGCTGACCCTGATTATTCTGCCTACCTGAAATCTTCCAAAATAGCTTTCAAAATAACCAATTTCACATCCAAATTTTAAGCGTTTGGCTATTTAGGTAGTTGCAGTTTGGGAGGAGAAATTTTAAGCGGTTAATCGAAGATATCTTCGTTATAATAAACTGAAGCATATGCATATTGCGGCGCTTCTCAGGTCGAAAAGATTATACACCAGTTAGCAATAATCTTGCAACTCTTCTGGGTTGCACCACCGTGTATACATCCCGGAAAGCTATATGTCCGGATTAATTTGAATCCCAAAAAAATTGCCCTGCAGTTTCAGGAAACGTGTCCAAACCTGCCAATTCATTTTTTAACAAAAAGCTGCTAGAATTTTGTTTAAAGATGCCAACAGAAAATGTTAGTAGTTCAACGAAACTTCCCTTTCAGTCATGCTGGATATCAGTACTGTGGAGCATGTGGAGGACATGCCTACAGACAAATTAGTCCTGTAGTAGTACGTAGAATCTTCGTGCTGGGCCCTTCTCACCATGTGCGTTTGCCAGGCTGTGCCTTGTCAAGTGCACAAAAATATAAGACTCCATTGTATGACTTACATATAGACATGACAGGTTTGTTAACAAATATTCGTGTCCGCCAATCCAAAATATCGTTATTACTGGATCAAACGCATTATTTTTATAAATATTATATTTTATAGTGAATAATGAACTAGAGAATACCGGTGAATTTGAGTGGATGGATTTGGATACGGATGAAAACGAACATAGCATAGAAATGCATTTACCTTATATCGCAAAAGTTATGGAAAAGTGAGTATTTGTTAGCGACAACAAATCAATGTTCCACTAATAATCAACAGCATTAATCAAACTAATAGGTACTGTCTTTTAGCTACAAAAATCAATTTACTATTGTTCCTATCTTAGTTGGATCTCTAACACCAGAAAAGGAAGCACAGTATGGCCGAATTTTCGCCCAATATTTAGCAGATCCTAAAAATCTTTTTATAATATCATCAGACTTTTGCCATTGGGGTCATAGGTTCAGATACACTTATTATGATAGGTCATACGGTAGTGTCTATCAATCTATTGAAGGACTGGATCGTGTTGTACGTAACACTGAAATTTAAAAATTCTATTCCAAAACCATTATAAAATTGGGTTTTTCAGGGCATGAATATTATTGAAAATTTGAATCCGACCGAATTTACAAACTATCTTAAGAAATATGGAAATACTATCTGCGGTAGACACCCTATTGGAATTCTGCTACAGGTAAGACAAACCATTGGGATTTAATTTAAATATAAATTATCTAACTTATGCTGATGTGTCCTTATCAGGCCATACAAGAACTACTCAGGAGCGATAACTCCCAAAATGCTAGTCTGAAATTTTTGAAATACGCTCAGTCAAGTCAGTGTCGTAACATGAACGATTCATCTGTAAGCTATGCCTCGGCTGCCTTGGTAATTGATTAGTATAAGAGGGGCCTTACATCTTTTAATTTTCATAGGACATCTAAAATGTCAAGTAATGGTTTATTATGATAGTGGCTAGCCAATACACTTTGAGTAACTCTTCCAGAAAATGTACCAATAATCAAAAATATCTTGAATTTTAAGATGTTCTATTATTAATTATATTTTATTAATGTTTTTCAATTTAGACTCTAATGGTCGAAATGAGCATATTTTTTCTTGAAGAGATACTGTGTTTACCAACGCTATAACATGTTTTTATTTATAAGTTTTATGGGTCTCATAGAGACAGGAAGAGGTATAGACTTTAAGTGCAATTACATTTGTAGCCAGAATATACATATTATTTTTCTCTATGTTAGGGCCATTTGAGCAATTTTTTTCTAGGTTTAGTATTTTTTGTTACACATTGACCAGAGGCTGATTTCATTAATATTAACAGTAGATCAGTAATATTAGAGTACATGTATGTATATATTTGTGAACTCGGTTTATGCAGTGTCCAATATAAGCATGTCTATAATGAGGATGTCGAAAGGAAGTGTTCCCAAATTAATTATATTTCTTACGACTTCCCAGATCCCAAAGCTTTTGTAAGGAACACTGTATACCGTACCGAAAACCTGCAAGCAAAATGTTTATTGCTTGAAAATGTTTTCAAATGCATTTCAAAAATTACTGATCGATATGTTGTTGATTTTTTACTAATTATTACCTCAGAGGCCTTTGTGGTCATTTTTGTTTAAACTAATAGCTGGAGTTCCCAATTTTGATATCATTTTCCCGGTTTTCTACATTGCTGTATATTTGTTGTGTTAACTATAATGTATAATATGGTGGCGTGGAGTGAAGTAGATACGTAGTTTTATATGTCATATTTTTAATGCGACCCAGTGTAATGTATTCAAAGTCACCACTTTGAAAGTATCTGTAGTCATTTAAGTAATTTTCAAAGAAAGAGCAATAATTTGTTTTTGTCCCTGAGGCTTTTTAGGTATAGGTACAAAATTTACTTACCAACAACTTTTAGGTACTCAAAATTATGCTTGCATAATGCCAGAAAGTAAATTTTCTACGAACATTTTTAGAATTAGCAGTAATTATTCTTTTTCAAGTTATGGTTTGTTTATTTATGACAAAACAAGCTAATTTGTTCGTTAACAGTAAAACTGGTTGCAAACGCAAATTCGATATTTTTCATAGTAACGAAATTTACTCTGAAAAGGATTGAATAATAGATGAGCAACTTAAAAGGCAAAACTTGTTTTTAAAGCTTCGTACTGTCAATTCAGTAGTTTATTCGTTCTGTTATAGCGAAAGTTTAATATTACTTCGCGCAAAACTTGTTAATTTGATGAAACAATATCGGTGCCCAAGACAAAGGTCTTTTTGTTATACTTAAAACAAGCTTATCTGTGACTAAAGTAAATCGGCTTACATAGAGCCATTTTTGGAAGCTAGGCGCGGATATTGAGAATAGGTAGATTTTTAACCGAATTTTCTCATGTATGCCAATTCGTACTGGTATTGAAATGCAGTCATATTTTCGTTAAAAAAAATTCTAGTGATTTTCCCCATATATCCCAGTTTCTTAATCGAAGTCAACTTACTAGAAGATCTCGTTTTACAATCTCCCAAGACCGTTATATATTTTGTTGTTGTTTGAACATGTTTGTTGTATATTTTGAATATAGGAAACTAACACTTTAATTTTCATGTAATTTACTCGCATGGACTACGAAAATGTGAAATTTCATATTTAGGATAAAAATAAAATTAATTTCTAAATACTTTTTGATAATAAACACGTTTGCAGTTTTCCCAGCGTGATTATTTCCCCTCCCAAATAGAAACAGATGAAATATATAAAATATCTATTAACACACGACCATATTGAAAACAGATTAAAACTAACATCACAAATAAATGCGGTAACGCAATATCAAATCGTACATGAAAAAAATGAGGCAGATTACAATTATCACAGAGTGGCATTTACTCCCTCTTGTTCATTTTACCGAAAAAGCTGTGCAATGTCTTTTGGGAAGTAGGAACTTTTGTAAGTCCGACTCTTCGAGCAGGACCAAACTTTCTTTTTTTTGTTTCCGGAACTTTCACATTCTCCTAAAAATGGTGGCCAATAAGAGCATACCAGTTGTTCCGATGTTTTTCACTTACCTGCGAGTCTACAATTATGACTTCTTCGTCACGCGCAACTCGAGGACCGTCCGTTGAAGCGTCTTTGCTTTCAATTTGAATTAGCTGGTCTGAACCCCTTTTTCGTGAGATTAGTTGTTCGGAAGAGCTACCACTTGGTTGCAATTCTGGATTGGAATGTATTGGAATTGCGGAGTTTATGCTAGTTTGCTGCTTGCTTGTTGATTGCTCTATTCCAACTTCGACTTCTTTTACACACTGTATTGAGTCTTTGTTTTCTTTCTGGGATTCTGGACAGAAGAATCTGCTTTTAACTATAGTGTCACCGTAAGTGTATGTTTTCGGAAATTTACTAATTTTTTTATTTTTTAGAAACGGGTTTTTTGTCAGAATCGGGGATAATTCATTTTTATTTGTTACTTCTATGCAGTCATCATCGGGTTTTTTTTCTGTAGACACCTCGAGCCTGGATGTGTATATCGATAATTCTTTGGTGATTTGAGAATCTTCGTTATCGAGCTCTTCGATTATAAGCGATTCTTCTTTGACCGTCTGCTTTGTCATGAATTGTTCGAATTTTTGCTTTTGCAATTGTTTCTCCTGCTTTCGTGAAATTCGTTTTTTGTAAATACCCGACCAAATACTGTATTCCGGTAACTGCAATTTCATTTACATTATGAACATTTACATTACAATTATAGGGAATTTCTTTTACAGCTACTCTTCTGTAGTAGGTGTTGATAAGAATTTTGTACTTTATATGGAAACGGCACTAGTTATCATTTCGTGATCAAGACAGGAACAAATTAGGTTTTGCCAAAGACTTTAAATTTTGAAGACAATTACCAAAATAAGACGGTTTTTTACTCATCAACAAAAATGTCCACTTACCTCTGATGGAGTCCAGTCATCATATTTCTCGAAACTGTAGGGATCAAGATTTCCAAGTGCCACTTCAAACGCCTTTTCGTCATCAAACTTGTCGCCTGCGTTCACAAGATGACTTAGATTAGTCCCTTTTACTTCTGGATCTGTTAAATGCACCAACTTCTTTTTATATGGGTCAAAGACCACTTGGTGCAGGAATGTGGCATTAGCAATTAAGACACTTCGTTTGTATTCTTCAGTGATCACCAAGTGCTTCATGTTTAGATACCTAGGTATTCTATCAAGAAACTAAAACAAAACACTAAATTGTTATCCTTGAGAAGTACAAAGGCACATTGTCACCTACAACTTCCGGGTCAGTTTCAGCAGTTAATTTAAGGAATTTTTCCGCTTTCTTCAGGCCTATTCCACTGAGACTGTTCGCATAATCACAGCCAGATAAAATACACATGTACCTGAATTTATCAAACGTGAATTGATCCGGTCTCATTTTCATTGCAGAGCAAATCTTTTCGGATTCCACAAGGCGGCCAGCGCCACTCAAATCCAATTTGTACAACACTTTTTTACATCCGAATAATAACAGATCGGAGTCTTCAGTGATTACACATTCTGCAACGCCTTTTATATTAAAGAACGCTAGTTGAGCATCAGACTCATAAGGTGCTACTATGCAATCGACGTTCATTTTGCGGCATTCTATAATGAGATTATGGGCCATTCGTGGAGTAATATCAATGCATTGTTTGAGGTAGGTTCGGGCTTCCTCAGTTTTGCCTAAGTTTAGCAATTCAGCTGCCCTCTGTTTAGCTTTTCTTCGAGACTCTCGTCTCTTAGCCTCCGTTTCTGCCTTAGCTGGGAGGTTCCTCCCATCAAATACCATTATAGGATGAATATTGTACGACAGGAACATTTTTACGTACTTTAGACAGTATGTGACATACCTACAAAGAACAAGATATTTAAACTGTGGTCAATTGAAAATCGGTGGTGTTTTTGCTTACATCTGACTGTCTTCTCCTCTAGCAAGCTGTTCTGCACATGCATTAGCGCCTTTATGCAATAAACAATACGAATCTACAGCCACTGTGCCACCTCTGAATTCTGATACATGGCAAGGCTTTGTGGCATTTGCTAAATACGGCAACAGCCCAGTAATGCCCATTTTTAGCTTTTTAAATAAATGATTTGATCCTGAAACTTGTTGTAAATTCCAAGCAGGGGTTTCATTCAATATTTGCGATTTCAGGCCGCACGAAAACTTGTTGTCTTGAAAGTTGTTTTAACCTCAACATTAAAGAAAACTTACCCCAAGGGGAACTGGTAAAGTAGGGCAATCACTAAACGATACAATTCAATTGTCGCTATTAAATAATTAATTTTCCGTTCAATTTATTCAAAAACATTGCACAAAAACAAATTCCCTCCAAAATAAATCATGGTGGAATTTTCTGCATCTTCCTTTTCTGTTTGTTCAGAGTTGCCTTTTGGTGGAATATGGCAACAGCACACTCGTTGATTTTTATGTATAACTATTTTATAATATTTTTATTTGATCATACTAATTGTTGATTTGTGGCCCAGTGATTTTTGTGAGAAAATAACTGCCTTTAGCTTTTTCCTAACAGAGAGATAGTAGAGGAATAATTATTTATTTAAATATTTCCATCCAATATCCAGTGGATGTAAAGCATATCTCCTTGTTGCCAACGCATGCGACTTGCATTCTGAATTACTTTATCAAGCAAATACATTTCTTTGATTGTTTTATTAATAATTTCATACTAACAATGTTTTAAACAGGTGAGTGTTTCATTCTATCGAACACCCCAGTTATATTTAACAAAACGTGCCAGTTCGGAAATTCTTACATGATGGTCGTGCGTGAAGCATGCTGCTTGGACAAGAATTGCCGCAGCTGCGCAGTACAATAAGTGAAGTTTTAGTACATTTTTTTTATTTTTCTTTAAAAAAATACGTTTCCAGTCTTTTCGCCTTCAATATATGCTTCGGTTTAAGTCATTGGCTTAAGATGTGAGAGAAAAACGCAGTATTTCAAAAATGAAACTCTATGTGCCACGCCCAAATCAGGTTGGATGATTTAAATAAATTTCTAAAATGATTTAACAAGGACTTAGCGTAGTAATGAACTATCAAATATATTAAGAATATCATATATTTAATATATAAATGCAAACAAATGGATTAATACTTTTATGAATTGATTATTTCAATTTTTCTGAGCAAGTTGTATTGGTGACAATTGACGCAAGGAAAATATGGAGTTTCTCAAATATTTTAGTTGATACAAAAGTGTTTTATAAAATAATTAATGAAATAATGCTATTAAAATTGAGATGGATTCAAATGGAAATGGAAAGAAGGATGTGAGGCCTTTGTTGAGAGAGCTTATTAGACGTCAAAGACTGGATTCCGATGTAAGGACTGAAACAAACAAACAGTAGTACATTTGGCTGAAAGAAAAACCTATTTAACTTTATTGTTTCATATATTTGATGGCTGCGCTGCTTTTAATACATACATTAGGGTTAGGAAAGTACTATTCATCCAAAAGTACAATTTGTTTAGGTCGCATTCACTAACTTCATAGCACTTGCAATTAATCCTACCCTGCCTAGGAAACAATTGCTAGTGGTTGTTTGCCGCGCTTTTGTTTTAGCTTGGCGTCGCTTTTGTTCATGCTAATTTTGTGAATTCGTTTTTGCTTATTAACTGCACGCAATTTGCGCTTCATTGCGATGGATCCTTCCAAAACGGCGACTAAATATGGTAAAGTGAAAAAAAGACCAGTTGCAGGCGTAAGCTCTGATGATAACTCATCGGGTGCCGCCCATACTGACCAAGGGCCGGGTAAGACTCCCAGTGATTCAGAAAAACCCACAAGTAAGTCCAAACCTATTGCTAAGATTGGAAAAGAAGGCCCCACATTCTTTAAATCGGCTGAACCACCATTTAAACTTGCACAATCTACATTTATGCCCAAACCTGGTAGACTGGCTTCATTAATTGCTAAGTTTGAGACCGTTAAACCACATGTTACTATTGATACACCCGTTCCTGTTCAAGAAAAGTCCACAGACCTTGATATATTCGGATATTCCAAGCACTTAAAGCTTCCTTATTGCTTACAAGGATTAAGTCCATGTGAATGTATTCCGCATTGCAAGGTACCAAGCCCTGATGTATACAAAAGACCATCTAAAGTGCAATTACCGCAAAGGTCTTTGTCGAATTCACCTCCATTACGTGGACGTGTCTCAGATGTTAGAGACCTTTTTGAGAACTATGGTAAATCCACTGTAAAAACATCAGCGCCAGTGTCCTCGACATCTAATGACCCTTTGGAGAACATTGCTGATATTATACATGATTTGGTGGAATTAACAGAGCCTTATACTACAATCATAGAACAGGCCATTGAACCAAGCTCGCGTGCTAGTGATTTTAGTCCACGTGGACATTCTATCGCAACCAAAAAATCAAAGGAATGGACCCCAATTGTACTTTCCGAAATCTATGAGAAAGGTGACTTTCGTGGTTCAATTGACAAGCCAAAACCTTCTACTGCCGAGGAAACTGATCCTGTTTTATCACTTGCTGATTTATATAAAAAGGCAAACCTACCATTTCAAGCCTCAACTGCATCATCTATTGGTGATCAATTAGATACGCCGAAAAGTCTTGTTTCAGTGGAAAAGTATAACAGACCCATTGTAAAAATTTCAAGATTACCTACTAAGAGTGATCAATTAGATAGCTTAAGCTCAGAGGAAGAGAGCAATAAACCAAATATACAAACTTCAACATTACCTGCTAAGAGTGATCAATTAGATAGCTTCAGCTCAGTAGAAGAGGATTTTAAACCAAAAATAAAAATTTCAACATTACCTTCCACTGTAGCAATAGAAGACCCTTCAACGTCGGAAGATGAAGAGACTGAGCTACCAATATCTAGCCTGCAAAGCACTTCTGTAAATTACTTAGATTTATCATCTTATGCCAGTTCCGAGCCTAAACACATAGTACCACGATCGTCTAAAGTTTCACTGGCAAAATACAGAAAGCAAGGAGCAATTCCCAAAGCTACTTTAAAAACTAAAACCCATCGTTCAAGATCGAGAATGCGAAGCGAACAGCCACCATCACATAGCTTTAATTTGCAATTGATACAAACAGCATTGAAGGAGATAAATGCTCCTAAATATATTTCCCAGGCAAAGACTTCTTCTGTACGGAAACCTGCAGACACATCTTTATCTCGCTTTCTACGAACTGTTAAACCGGTAAAACCGCCGTCGGAAAGATCTAGGAAAAATCAGGTTGAAATCGCTCTTAGATATTATCCTGGCCTACCAGATTATGCTCAGTGGATAGCAGGTTCAAGCAGCATTCCAACTTCAACCTGTGATGTAACATCTCCCGAATTTTCCTTTGATCCTACATGTCCTGAAAAAACTGGAGTCGTTCATCAGGTATTTTGGTATTATTTAAACATTATTTATCTTCATGTCTCTATTTTGTCAATTCCCTCGACTATCACCCGTCCATGTTGACTATTCTAGAGTGTCAAAGCTTGTCCCAAGCACAATCCCACCCGTAAAATTCAATTACGGTCCACAGCTACACCTACAGATAAAGATGCACGTAGAGCAGTCTTTGGACCTCCTGAAGAAGTTTATGATGCTTCGAAAGGCGCTGAAGAAAAACCCAAATTTTCTTCAGTTGATTTGCATAATTTTAATCTGGGTCAGGTACCGCAAAGAAAAATTGCCGCTTTCGTTTTTTTCTTTTGGTCATATTTTATATTACAAGTTTCTGAGACTCCATTTATTCTCTTCAGGGCGGTGGAGCAGATTCTCCCGATCTTGAGTTTATTTATGATGACGCTGACACTCACGGCAATGAAATTGCAGAGCTTTATAGTTACACCGAACAACCAGAGCTACAGCTCAATGTCAAAGTAGGTTTTTGCAGCAATATTTAAATTCTATTTACAATTTAATGTATTCAGGCGTTTGAGGACCAAATGGAAATTTACCATCTTCTACCCAACTGGAAACGTTTATCGGTAGAAGCGCGCAAATCGGTAATGATGAAACTACTCGATCAGCTTGAGTCTAGTGTGAAACCTTTGCGAATGAGGAGTGCAAGATGCCTCCTGTACCTCGCCCAAGGTTGTTGGGCTGAGGTACAATCCGATACTGAACAGCAGCACTGGACTAGAATAAATTCCATGATGCTGTTTCGGCTTGGTGCATTTGCTTTATTTACTGAGTTGTTAAATATTGAAATCGAGTAAGTCCTATGAAATGCCATGTTCTATGCGTCTTTAAGTAACTTTTTACATTCTAGTAACAGCACTGCTGCGCATGTTGCAATGCGGAAAATTGCTGTTTCACTAGCTGACTCTCAGGATCTTCGTGTCATTTTATCCGTTTTATATATCATAACGGAAGTAATCAGAATTGAAAAATTGTCAGGCGACCCAGCATATACCCAGGATATAGAGGCTTTTGTGTTTGAGATCGGTAAGGTTTCTTGATATCTTCGTATTCGTCGATTTCATTTGTTAAATTTTGCACAATTTTATTCCAACTTCACTTTTTAATATATTCTCTGAATTAACTTTAACAGAGCGAGATGGAGAGGATCATTTGATTATAAAACTATTGTCCATGGTAACAAAGTTTTGCAGCGGTGCCGCACCTCATTTTCCTATGAAAAAAGTTTTGTTGCTTTTATGGAAACTTACGCTTGTAACTTTGGGTGGTATGAATGAATTGAAGGTAACATGCTAAATAGAAATTCTAGCGCCAGTTTGACTAGTTAATGTTTCAATAGGAAATGAAGGCAGAAAAACGCCGTTCATTTAATTTGCCACCTCAAGGTGAAGACACTTTGGAAATCATCAAAACCATGAGGTCTTCATCACCACCGGCGAGTGCTACAGATTTGCTTGAAGTCCAAAATCAGAAGCGTAGTACACGTCCATTTAGAAGAGTGCGTTGTTTTTTACTGTTTTCCATTTTCTCGAAAATACGTTGGGGTTTTATTTCAGAGTCTCATAAAGCAAAGTAGTTTAGATGATCAGGAATCTCTAGGCTTGGAAGTTGAAACTTCCATGGCCAATGAAAACGGGGACGAATTAGCCGAGATGGCAACGTATGATGAAAGACGCCCCACAGATAATAATGAAACCAATCAGATGTTTAATAATCACATTTTGAACATGTATAACATGCAAGTTTCACCTCCTCCACAGCATGATGTTATTCCAAGAGGTTTGCCATGGAAGCCAAAAGTTCGGCAGAAGGATATCGATGTGTTCCTGGACAATGCAAGACAGAAGTTTTTAGGCTACAGCTTGCCTGGAGATCGAACCACTTTGTTTGGATTGCCCGAGCCTATTCATGAAGGAGTTAGAGTTTTAAAAGCGGTATTATTGAAAGAGTTCCTATCAAATGCAAGTTGCTATTTAGCATTTATTTACAGCACGTTTACACTTCATTAGTTGAGCTGCAAATCGAAAAGGAGGAAGAGATTGCTCGAAACCCAGTCTCAAGCGAAGAAGAATTCATTGAGCATACACCTGCTGAAGTCCTGTATCAGGCTATGCTTCCGAGCTTGCCTCAATACATGATTGCTCTGTTGAAAATTTTGCTAGCTGCTGCACCCACCTCCAAAGCAAAAACCGATTCCATCAATATCATGGCTGATGTATTGCCTGAGGAAATGCCGTAAGTTGCAACCAAATGAGTATATTCAATTATATATTTTTCTTTTATTTCGCACAGTATGACTGTCTTGCAGTCAATGAAACTAGGAATCGACGTCAACAGGCACAAGGAGATTATAGTTAAAGCAGTGTCAGCAATTCTCTTGCTATTTTTGAAACACTTCAAGCTGAACCATATCTATCAGTTCGAGTTCATGTCACAACATCTTGTTTTTGCGAACTGTATCCCATTGGTTCTTAAATTCTTTAATCAAAACATCATGGGATATGTTGGCTCCAAAAATGCGTAAGTCAATTTATCACTTTTTGTTTAGAGGGCTGGGGTTTGAAACAGAATTACGAACCTTTTGCCAGTGCTTTTTTAAAAATTAATACATATTGTATATGAATACTTTCAAAGCAGGTACGTATGAACAGATTCGCTTGGTTTTTAATGGTTAAAGTGCCTGAAATGCTTTATCTTTCCATATACGATTTCTTTGTGCGGGAAAACTTAGAAATGATAATTTTAGAATTCCGATATTGGATTTTCCATCTTGTGTAATTGGAGACCAGCCCGATCTCACCGCCGAAAGTCTTGAAATAGGAGACGCGGCTCAATTTTCGTGGAGGAACATGTTTTCCTGCATAAACCTTCTTAGAATTTTAAATAAATTGACCAAGTGGAAGCACTCGAGAATCATGGTAAATTTGGTCCTGAAAAACCGAATGAAATTCAACAAACCGTTTTTACATCGATTTACAGATGGTTGTGGTATTCAAATCAGCTCCCATTCTCAAACGCACACTAAAAGTGAGACATGCAATGACTCAGTTGTATGTTCTGAAATTACTGAAAATGCAGACTAAGTATTTGGGAAGGCAATGGCGCAAATCAAACATGAAAACTATTAGCGCTATTTACCAGAAAGTTCGCCATCGCCTCAACGATGACTGGGCATATGGAAACGGTAAGATTAAAATATTTAACTTGTGATATATTACATATTTTCTTCAGACATTGATGCAAGACCATGGGATTTCCAAAGCGAAGAATGTGCGCTCAGAGCCTCTGTAGATAGATTTAATAACCGCCGATACACTCAAGTCAAAGTAAGTACATGCAATCATTTTGGCGTTCTGATGTACTATAATTTTCGCTTTTAAAAAAAATTCGCTGAAGCTTTTAGGTGATTTTTTCTTAAACAAATAGAATTATTCAACCTTTGTAATATTGGTTAATTGCAATTTTGAGTTAACAAATTGATTTTTTTTAAGAAAAGCGAGTTTGAACCTGTTGATAATAACCCAATCAGCATTCTGGGGCAAGATTATGATCTTTCAGACAGCTTTAAGCGATACTACAACTTATGGTTAGAGCAGGAGGTTCATGGCACTCCGATTGACTGGGAAAAGTTGCTTTTTGAAGCTGACAAATGTGACAAAAAAGACGAATAATGATCGTTTGTTAAATATCGGTAGTCAAGGCGATATTGTTAAACTCTTACTAGTTAAAGCGTTGCTAAACCTTATTAAAGTTTATTTATTTTATTCAGTTAGTGTTTTATGCTTTCGGAAACTCGTGTTCCTTGAGAGCATTTTATAAAAAAAAATATATTTCTATTTACCTAATTTTTAGTTACTTAAATGTTCAACGTGTCCGGTTTACCATTAATATCTACTGTCGGAACTTGGACGTAAATACTGTACATTTTTGTGTTGGTCTTAAGGTAATAAATGAGCTTTAATAACGTTATTTACCATAGGTTTTCATAGGAAGTGTAATATTCTTTAATACTATAAGCAATTGCCTTTTACAGCCCGATTTCATAAACTGATTTTTAAATTTCGAACTCTAAGAGTTCTACCAGTGATCAGTACTCATCAATAGCTTATCATGTAAGTCAAACACCAATTCAGTGTGCGATCAGTGTTGAAGAATAAATTTCTAAACTGTAAACTGTAATTAGTAGTTTCTGATAGTGAGTTTTTACTGTACATATAATCCATCAATTTTCATATCTACTGTGAATAATTTAGGTCGAAAAGCATTCAGTAGTTCCTTTTAAAAGTTAATTAATCATTATCCCTCGTAAATATATATTAAATGTATTTTAACTTCGATTTTTTTTATTTTCATTCACGTCCAAGTAATATCAGTTTTTAATCCCGAATTACAATATTTTGCTGTTTAGAGTTTATTCCTTGGAATAGCAGAATTCGCGCTATCTGCTTAATATCAAATTTTCCCCATGTTTCCCCAAACTATGTTAAATTTCAAACGCTGTTTTGTAGTCATTCATTTCCACTATTGGAGAGTTATCAATATAACCGCTCATTTGTTTAGTACCAATGTTCTAAATACCAAATTATTCGTGATTTTTTGTTCAGTGATAAATAGTTTTTATTTTTACAGAAGTTTTGTATATCTAGATTTTCGTTTATTTTGGTAAAGTAAATAAGAATATTAGGAATTTGCGGTGGAAGGACTTAGGACTTTTTTCTATCACCTATCTTAATGCTATTGTGCATGCAAAAAAGTTTTATTCCTTGATCCGCGGGTTTCTGTTTGAATGTTTTTAGGTCACTTCATGTATTTGTTTTGATAATTTTGTAACGTATTTTAATCCTCAATAAATCAATAAATAGATTGGATTACTTTTTTTACTCCCACTCCCTCGTTGACATTGAACTTGTGAAGGTAAGTACTTAAGTGCATTCCTAGTAGTGTTTTGTGGAGGTAAGTTTGAATTTTCTACTAAATTGTAGTTATTGTTTGGAATTTGGAATCAGTAATTGTTTTTTGAGAATTAAGTCATTTTGGAGTGATAAATGGTTTAAAGGCACTTCATAAAATATGCAGCGCACAAATCCATGGAATATGTAGCCTTTGTCTGGAAGAAAGCGAGGAAATCATGCTCTTAAAATTCATAACCTTTTTACTCTGGCAAAGTCAAATTAACGAAAAATCCAATCTAATTTAAATTTAATTACATATTCATTTTCAGGATGGGAAAAATGTCAACAGCTGCTGTGTAGAGAAATTTTCAATTTAACCAGTGGATGTTTCGCCTCAGCCCGTTTTGATCGGGAGAAAGAAGAGTTGTAGATCAAACGGCAGTCGGGGCGCTTATAGGATACTCCCGCAGCTTTTTCCAGGCTCGGATGAATTAATTTTCTTTGGCTGGCAATTTATAGACCAGTATGCGGACTTTTGAGGAATCGTTTTCTGTTTAATTAGCTCTCGCCGACCGGAAAATGCACCGTTTAACATTTAAATCCAACAAGTAATCTTTTTTCGTAGATCTATTATTGCTTTATATTTTCACTGCCTTTCCGCTTTTCATCTTTTGTTCAGGCAATTCGAATTTTTATTAGTTGCATTTAATCGGATAGGAGAATCGCCAGCTGACTAAAATGATTATTAGGTTTCAAACTGGTTACGTTTTAATTTGAACTCATATTGAAGATCCTTTTATTCCTATTTTCTCAAACTTAACACACAGCAATTTAATATTTATTTTTTTTGTTATGTAATGTTGTATTCTCGGTTTCTCTAAAAAGGCGAGTCGGGCTCATGAGTAAAGAAGCTTTGATTTTAATTAAAAGGCTATTCATATTTAGAATTACATCGATCTACCATAAAAATGTTGGTTTTTGCAAGGGTTTTTCTTAATTGGAGCCCATATGAAAAATCTAGTGCTTTGAAGTCGGAACTTATAGAAGCCAAAATGTTTCCAGAGTCAAATCAGCGATTTGAAAAAAAAATTCTAATAATTGATAACGTTTGACCTTTTTTGCAAAAAAGAAACAGTTTCTCCTTATCGCATAGAAATCCCTAAATTCCTACCTGTTCCATCAAAATACTTTTTGTGCCGCTGTTCCCCAATTTCCGACTCAAAAATCCTGTGTCTTATTCGTAGCTTCAATGTTCTAAATTCTGTGTGTATTGGCAGTCTTCGCTCAGAAGGTAATTGAGAACCTTCTTCGAGCTGAAGGAAGAGTGTTTGATGTGTTATCAAAACCTTTTGTTTGTTAGATCGATTTTTCTCAAAGACGGATTAAGATTCCAAAATGAAATCAAAATACGGATTTAATGGCAATTTAATGGACCTCCAGATGATGAAGCAAGTTTCATGTTAAACACCCAAAGTTTCATAAATCGTATAGGTCATGCAGGTATCTAATTTTTTGCCTATACATGGTGTCCCGTAAGAACATGATCAAAAGGATATTGCGATATTTTGCATCAAAAAACGACGATCTGACCTAACTTTTATTACCAAAAAATGTCTGTCTCTTCTGCTATTGATGGTCAAAGATCGTCAAAAAAATTATCTTTTTTAAAATATCTGGAAAATGGTATGATGTATTTTGGTGAAATTTGCTATGAATTTGGTCTTATGTAAGATTTATACTTTGATGGAACAATCGAGTTCATCCGTCTTGGACAAGTGGTGAATTCTTGAGTGTGGTCCAAAAACTACCAGAACTTTTTATTTGGAGGATGAAATCTATTCATTTTTTTTTGGGTTGATGCACTAATCATTTATTGACAATTTTGTGCCCTTTGTAAAATCTTGTAGCATTCATAGTTTTTGCGAAAAAAATATTTCTATTTTGTTGCCACTTAAATATATTAGACATTAACTACAAATATCGTGATACGAGGCATAACTTAATTGTTAATCAATCTCACAAATTCGTTTCGATTGACCTTTTCTAATGAAGAAGTAATCGACATGGTCAAACTATTAGGATTGTGCGAAGATAACTTGCGTAAAAGCGTACGCGTTTTCGCGGCGCATATTTGCAGTTAACGTCTAACATTGTAAAGTGGCAAGAAAGCAGACATACTTTTTTGAGCAAAAACTATGAATGCTACAAGATTTTACAACGAGCACAAAACTGTGAATAAATTATTAGTGCATCAACCCAAAAAAATTTATTGATATCATCTCCTCCAAATAAAAAGTTCTGGTAGTTTTTGGACCACACTCAAGAATTCACCACTTGTCCAAAACGGATGAACTCGATTGTGTCATCAAAGTATAAGTCTTATATAAGAACAAATTTACAGCGAATTTCACCAAAATACATCATACCATTTTCCCGATATTTCAAAAAAGATATATTTTTTTAAGAACTTTGACCATAAGTAGCAGATAATCCAGACATTTTTTGTTAATAAAAGTTAGGTCAGATCGTGTCCTTTTGATCCAGAGAATATCGCGGTACCCTTTTGATCATGTGCTCACGGAACACCCTGTATATTTACACATTTGCACTTTTGAATAGGGAATATTTGGACCGAAGTTAACAATTTTTCGCACAGTATACTCGTTCTGTATACGAGTTGAGAAGAGAAATTGCATAATTTTTTCAAATTAAAATCCAGGCACAATTATTCATTAAAGTTGATCATCCCCATAATTCATTATCAAATGTTGTCAGAGATGTTTGAAAGCAATAAATTTATGTTTTAAAAATCGTCGGGGATTTTCTTCGGAATATTGAAAGAAATTATGAGTCCGGCACTCGAATTAACTTTACGTGATCGAAAAATCGATATTATATTGCTCTGGACTAACATTGCACTTAAGCTCTCAGTGGACATCGTATGTTATGGCTTTGTTTTAATCCTGCTATACATCATACGGAGACTTAGGGAAAACGACCGAACTACACAAAGGGCCATTTGTGAAGACATCAACCCTAAAATGCTACGGATACAAAGGATGTTTTAACTTGGCGAAGAATTTTCTCGGGTGACCCTACTTTTTACACAAAGCGTCATTCTTGCTGTCCTTTGGTTGGAGGACCATGCTTTTGATCTTTTTTTTTCGGCATTCCTAACCGACGTTATGGAATGATGATTTTTATTTTCCTTTAATGAGACTGGCACTGCGTATTAATTAATTACTAGGACATCAAAATCAAATATTTATTATCTTCAACTTTAACATAAATAACAAAAATAAATAATTATTATATTACGACTATTTTAGGTTTAAATATACTAACACATTTTTTGTAACTTAAGAGTAATATGTACAGATTGTTATGTGTGATCTAGAGGTTTTTAGATACTAAATTTGGTTTTTAACAATCGTAGATATCCTATTTAAACTTGAAAATGGCAATGTTATGTTGATGTTTTGAGCAATTTCATCACCTTGGCAGTGAATGCGTTCAGTTTCCCGATGAAGCAGTTGTTGTTGCCGATTGTGGAATTAAAAGCCGAACTCACTAGATATTCTTGTCTTAAAGAAACTAATTACTCTCATTATCGACACTGTTTTCATCCGCTTTCTCTTCGGCGTCTACCTTTTTCGAATCGTCGTCATTCTTATAATACAGGGCAATATTGCTCGTGTCTAAGAGTTGTAAAGACTCTTCGCTGTCAACGTTATCGGATTTATCCCCCAAATTACTGTCTTTTGGTGCTTCAACGATCACTTCGCTTATTTCGGAGGCCTGTGGACTTGAACCGTCCAAATTACTGATAGTCTCATTAATCGAGTAATTGTTCCGCTCAACGCTGGGCTGCAAAACAATCGGATACTTTGTATTTTGGCCTTGTTTGCCTGGCTGTTCAATGGCTTGAAGTATAGATTGCAATAAACCTTCATTTAACACCTGAGTGTGTGGTACTTGACCGGGGGCTCCATCGGCTGATTGAATTTGAAGGGTGTAACTTCCCAAATTGCCTTGTATTGGAATATTATTCAGGTCGAGAGACTGGGACTCTACCAGCTCGCTATTCGGCCCGAAACTGGCAGCTACAGATTTTCCATAGTTTTTTCCATGAGTTTCTTCACTTTCTGCTACCGAATTCACCTTTGCTTCAGTTTTAAAGGATGCACTATGAGCTAAATCTGGCACTCCATATTGGGATGATGGCACTGAAATTTGAGCTTGAGGCGGAACCAAATCGGGTGCTCCATACGAAGATGGTGGAACAATGCTTTGGGCGTGAGAGGTGGCAATATTCGTAGTCAGGCTAGAAAGTGAAGAAGTATAACTGTCCGCAGAAGGCACGCCATATGCCAGTGAAGGCACCTGCAGTTGCTGTTTATTGTAGCAATCGCGGTCCTGCTTGCCGTCTGTTAAGTCTATAGTAAGCGGGGGATGTGAGAAGTCTAAGGACACACTGATATCTCCATTGGATTCTGGAAGAGCATAATTTCCATCAATAGTTCCCAGTGGGACATTGTAGCTGGTCAATGGCAACGCGCTAGCGCCTTCAATGTTCAAGCCACTATGCTGTAGGTCAATCCCAGCAGTTGCGGAACCATGAGCAACGTTTTGGAAAGAAATAGCTGTTGATCCACTTGGCACTCCATAGGACTTCAGAGGTTGGACTGGCGGCAAATATGAGTGTCCTTTTCCAGCATCGGCGTAAAATCCTGGCCGACTAGATGTTTTGTAGTTGCTATTCGTGTACAAAGGTGTCCCGTACTGGTTACTTGGGGGCGCTCCATAAATGCCACTTGGCGGAATTAAGCCTATGTCTGAGTTAGCGAAATGAGATGACTTATGGCTGTGTGAGTTGAAACTGCCCTTGTAGGTCTGCGAGGCGGACTCTAAACTGTTGTATGAGTTGGAAGAGGAAAACGCATCAGCATGAGGAACACCGTATACGTCTGATATTTGATGTCCGTTGCCACCGGAGTGGCCCTGAGGGCTTATGTTGTACTCCACGCTCTTAACTGCTTGGATATCAGAGCCGTGAGCTCCGCCTACTGAACTCAGATCCAGATTGATTCCATGGGAGTTACTATGTGAGCTGGAGTGACTTCCAGCATGATGGGCTTCATCCCCTGAGGATGCTACAATTCCTCCACTTCCGGTCACTGTGCCCAAAGGAGCGCTGTAAGAGTCACTCACTCCCTTAGATCCAGTTATTGCATTCAAAGACACTCCGTATGAGTCACTAAGGCCATTCCCGTGACTGACATCTAAAGTTACAGCTGGAGCTCCGTAGGAGTTACCTAGCTGATTATGACCGTTACCAAGAGGAGGTGGAGATAAATCATGGTACCCGGAACCTTCCGCTGTGATATGATGTATTTCCTCTTCAGGGCGTTTAGAAACCAGACCAGGGATTGGCTGCCATCCATCATATTTGATATCTGGAGGTGTAGGTGGTGCTGGAGCGCCTGGGTGTGGCGGCTTGGGGTTTGATGAGGGCTGTGGAGGTCCGTAGGCCGTGAGTGGAGGCCCTGATTCGATCACTTTCTCCGGAACTCCATATTGCGTGGATATTCCCACATTGTGCCCTCCAAATTGAACTTTGGGGGGCAAAATTGGGGCTCCATATTGATGATTCAAGCTGGATACGCCAGAATATAAATTCGAGAACGAATTCGTCGAGAAAGCGTTATTGTTCAGCACATTACTCGCGAAAATATTATTGAAGTTTTTGGTGTTCAGGTAGTTGTTGGATTTAATTTTGTTGTAGTTGAAATTATCTTTGAAACCGGATATGATTGGGGCGCCGTATACGGGCTTTGGGGGCCTGAAGTTGAAATTCTTTGGAGGGTATTTATGGTACTTCAAAGGCTTGACTGGAGGTCCATACACGCCTTTAGGTGGACCGTAAATGGGCTTGGGTGGGCTCAAATTAAACGAAAACTGGTTGAGTGGATATGCCGGCGCCCCATATTTTATGTTTAATGGAGCTCCATATCCTTTGGTGATTGGCGGCAGTTGTGGTACTCCGTATACATTCCCTAGCTTTGGTGGTCCGTATAAGGGAGCCGGTGATATTTTAGGAGGAGGTGGAGGTATATCTGGAGGAGGTCCGGGATAAACCACATTATTAGATGGCGCATTCGGAACCCCATAGACAGGTATTGGCAAGTTCACCGATGCTCCACTAGCGGAGGTCAAGCTGGGAACTCCATATGAGTCGAGAATTGAAGCGTCCCTTCGGTTGGACGTCTCGGAACTTTCCGCCACCAAATCCCCCGCATTCTCATTGGCTTTGTCGCTCTCTTTAGTCTCGGCAACGGTTTTCAATGATTCTTCATTCTTCTTGTTTTGGCCATTATTGACAACAGCAACAACATGTTGCAAAGTCAAGCAAGCCGACAGCAATGCAACAAATACCTGCAAAAAACCACATAATCCATTAGGTTAGCGGATGTGAATATAAAACATGAAAATTGGTGCTGGTGCATTTTCGGGATTGCGCTGGGAAATTCAAATGTCCGGGGACTTTTTGAATTGCGTTTTTAGCTAATGGGATTTTTGAGTGTTGCTAATGGAAATTGAGTTGGCTGTCTAATTGAGTTTGTTAAGAAGAATCATATTGAGTTTCAACTGGCAATAAAAAATTACAACTGGCTTCAACACTGTTATCTACAAGAGGAAATTCCCACCCACTGGAAAAAATCGTTATAATAATCACATGTTCTAGAAGAACAAGAATGTAAGTAGATGTTGCATGAGAAAACCTCATTGTTTTACATTAACGGCATCGTTATGCAAGTCCATTTAATACAGTGCGAGACTTCAAGGATACGATCATAATCTTCAGTAATTGATTATTAAATGAACAAAAGATTCAACGCAAATTTGTAGAAATGGGTTCTAGTTCAACCTGTTTCAACTGACTGTGACATTGAAATTGAAATGAAAGTTGACCCTGGCTGTGAAAGTAAATTTATTCACAGGTATCTGCCGGTGCCTGCGGCTGACTATTCATATTTAAACATTCCTCTCGATAATGATGAGACAACACCCAAACATTTAGCAATTTCCATTGAATATATTCAGTTTAAAAAGGAAAGTATTACACGCTGGAGTCTTTTAATTTGCTAAATTTATTATTTCGAACACTATTGGGACAGAGATAACGTGATGATTTGTTTCTATTTTTTCAAATAAATTACAAACGATGAACATTGCATTTTTAATGGGCATTTTACTGTTGCAAGGCGCTCCATCAACAGTGCTGTTGAGGGAAAGTTTCGCTTCTTGAAACATGACCCTAAATCATAGAAAGTACAAGTTCTTTAAACCTCTGCATTGTATGGCATATAGCGGCAATTAAAGATAAAAATGAGTCTAAAGTTACTTTCAACTAATTGGATATCCATCCGTAGTTCAATCTTTCTTAATCAATCAGTTCTTAATTGCTTTTAGTCCAATACATTTAATTCTACTTAACTAATTTAACTGTGTCCTCATTCTATTAGCGAATTTCACATGGAGAGAAAAATAGCAAAACCGGCCATTATCTATTTTCCTAGGAGGTGCATTACCTCATTTGCATGACAAGCTTTAAATGTTTAGACAGGAAAACATGCTCAGCTCGAAATGTAGCGTGTTTCGGTCAGTTGGCGACATTATTTTGCTATTATAGTGAAACCATCGAGGTGCAATATTTAAATTTTGTGTGGATTGCATATTAGCAATTCGAGTTTTGGAAAAGCCGCATGCCATTTTTAATCGGCTAACAATTTATGGTTTATTTCAAATGGAAACTACTTGTTGATTAACTTGCATTGAAAATGTCTTTCAGTCTACTTCGTACTAACATGAGGGCCAGTATCTGCACATTTCCTGATGTTAGTACACTCACAAATTTACATAGTTTGCACATTTAAAAAACAGATTAGCACTATTACGTCAATGAATATAACTTCCTTTACATGCCCATATATTTTCCAAGATAAAAAGTAAAAAGTCGTGCTCAAACTGTTGCGCGACATGCAATGCTACTTTTCTTGATTGGACACTTGTTTTAGTTGGCTAAAACTCACCTTAAATGTGTCCCGAATTGGGACGTTTATGTGCAAAGTTTTCCTAATCTCAAGTTTACCATTTGGCGTAAAACGGTGGGCATATTTCTTTCATTTTAAGATGCGCCGTTGTTTTTCTGGCGTTGTACATAAAAATTGTGAGGAAAGCAAAACCGTTTTTATTTATCGGGGGGAAGACGTTGAGCGAGAAAGTTTAATAAGAAAACTTTTGAAAACTCAAATAAATAGTTTCATTCACACATCTCTACTATTGAATACAAAGTGGTTGAACACGTATTAATCAACTGATCAATATTCGACGTTCCACTATGCATATTTTCAGATAATTCGCGTTTTTTTTTGTTCAATGCATGTTTCAAACCCTTTCATGCAAAAAGCTCCGGTTAAAATACACCAGGGGTTAGATCGCAAATTCGACAATCGGCTTGAAAATTTTAATAAAGCCTTGCTAATTTGTTTTCGTGCGCTTTCTCCCCACTTTTCCCAATTACAGTTCATCAATTAAACTGCAGTTGAAATGGCCTAAAGCGCTCAAATCGTACCAAACCTCATTTTTTGAACATTTTATTAGCAATATTAGGTCTGAAATAGTATGTTGCAGATAAAAGCTGGAAATATACAGAAAAATCAATAATCAGACTCAATAAAATTTGGTAAAACATATATCAAATTTTAAAAACTTTGTTAATTAACGGATTTGCATTGTTGATTGAGAAATACGCATTGCTTTGCATATTTTTTGGGAAATCGTCCATGGGTCCTCGACTAAAAAGCCATATATATTAATTTAATTAATTTCATAATTATACTAGTTTTACTTCGCAGAATAATTAATGAGTTAATCTGCTGTATCCCAAACACAGCAGATAGAAATGTGGTTTAAAATGACCAGTTCGGGCGAATATGTGTGAATATGAATTTTTTATAGCATTTTAGAGGCTGTTAATGTGCTGAAAAATAGACCTAGCGAAAATATTGGTTGCATTTCAATGAGTATTTGTTCACAACGAATGAAAAATTCCACTGTAAAAAAGCGGAAATGTTTTCGTGTAATTCAGTTAATCGTTGTTTATAAAACTGTTAATTTCCTGTACAAAGTTCCGGAATTCAATCTAAAGCAAATTGGAAAACAACAAAATTTTCGCTTTGATAATTATCAAAAATGAACCAATAAATATGGAAAGGGCAAAGACACAAATATACTTAAAGTAAGTTAAAAAACCACTAAAGTTAATGAAAAGCAAATAATTTTTTTTTGGAACCTTTGTTAGTAGGTATGATATATTTTTGTTAGTTTGTAATATGTTGTCACCAACCTGTTGTGACCACATGGCAAAAGGTAATCCAAAATTAAGTCACCAAAAAAAAGAACACTAAACTACATTTAACACCATGTGAGTGGCGGTGATGGTTTTTGAAAAATATCTTGCACCTGACGAATAGGTGGAATATATAGATTCACTTTACAATATTGGCGTCGAGATGAGTCTCCCCTCTTAATTTGGCTTTAGTAATAAGAAACAGAAGGTTGAACATTTTACCTCAGATCTTTTTAAGCGGACATAAGAGAGAAAGTAGGATAATGAAAGTAGTCGCGCCATGCCCATTCGGTCTACCTGGTTCGTATAAAGTATCACAAGTCACAAGAGATGTCCATAAATTAAAAACAATATTGAATTTCAGAATTTTATTAGAATATCTTAAAAGTAATTCACTTTTACTAACCAGACCCAAATAGTTTATAAGGATTTTTAATTGACAACACCACCGATTAATTAAACGATAATAACAACACACATAATAAAAATAAAAATATTAATTTTTAATTGTAAGCAAAAAATAGACGCACATTTATTTATTTTTTGAATATATCATCATTAGTAAAACGCAAATATCCTACTGACCTGTAGAAAGTTTGGTGCTTATAAACAGATTTTTCTCAAATTTCCATTTCATCGAGTTCTATTTACGAAACGAATTGAGAATTGATGTAAAGACATATTTTAAAATGTGTTAATCTCAGGCATTCCCAAAACCGGTTTCGAACTTATTGGCCCTCATCAGCTGGGTTTAGTTGGAAACCAACACAAAAATTCGTGGCTAGGATTAGCACATGTAGAAATCTTCAAGTTTCTGGAAAGTTTTATTTTACTTCCAATTGAGTATCATTCGTCAAAAAAAACTGAACAAAACGAAAATTATTTCACTCCAAAAATCTTCTAAGTATATAAATAACATTGATAGCCACTTTTACGGTAAATTTCCCTTATTCTTATCTATTAGATTTCATTTTAAATTGCGTGGGTACAGATTTTCTTGGGCTTTATTTTTTCATATTACCTCAATCTTGGAACGGCTGGTGAATAAAAAAAAATAAATTTAAGACTGCGATAACACTAAAATGCAAATTATGTAATTTAAATATCAACCACTGAGAAATTTGTCCATGTTTAATGACGGTTAAAATAATTATAAATTCCAGACACGCACCTCTTCTGGTGACATTAGGTAGAGTGTATTTGGCAAAGCCTGAACATAATACATACAAAACAATGAAAAGTAAAGAATTATTTAAATTGGCCATTTTCAATCGCTTTGTCTATTCAGAAACTGTATTTGAATTAGACATCAAATATTAACTTTCTTTAGTTATTATTATGCATCGTGAGCTAGTTGATTTATTTTTAGTACAGTTTTTAACTTTTATTCGTTGCAAATTCATGAAATGGGAAAGTAAAATAATTGGGTGCCTAACACAAACCACTAATTATGAGACATTTTATAAAAGTGATACTCGACTAAGGCACATCTAATTGCCCAAATCTTGCAACTAAATCCATATTTATTACTCATACTTTTACTCTAGTTTTGCATTTGAAATTAAAGCCAGTTCTTTCGTTTCGGCTCCTAGTTTTACCGCTCATTTATTTGGATTTTTGCTTAAGCCTTTCGTGTAGGAATTGACTATTATGATCCCCAACAACACTTCCTGCCTAATATTTATTTTACGTGTTATAATTTAAATTGCTGCCATCAAGACAGTTAGACTGACTTCGTCGTGCCGGAATTATATCAAGTAAAAGCCGGTTGCTAATTACAATTTACATGCATATTCATGTCTAGATAATTATTGCGAGCATTACCGCATCGTTTAATTTAATTACATTGTTGTAAGTGTGCTAAAAAAATGTATGCGAGTTGTAATTAGAATTCATATCCAGGTATTAGGTCAGCATTTTTTCATAGGTGATTAAAAATTCAACTCGATGAAAAATTTTTTTTCAGAAATTGCCCGTGCTTAATGTGTATTTGCAGGAATTTTAAAAATGCACGAAATTATCTATATAACGCAAAAACTTAATATTTAAATTCTAGCTTCCTCAAACACTTCACACAAGTCCATAACTATGAATCATCCTGTAAAATTTGTCCATGGCAAAAAAAACCGCTAATTTGAGCCAGTATATTAACCGGACCATTAACAAAAAAAAAATTAGTGTAACATTTCCTAAGTGTTCATTGCCTAGTAATGGAACTTCATTCTCATGCAGCCAAGAATTTTTTGATGTTAGTTTCATTAATCTAGGTCGTTTTGGTTTCACTTGAGAAATAAATTTTCCTGTTTTAATTGATAAATTCAAGTCAAATAAATAATTTTAGTACTTTCAGCATGGAACATTTTTCCTGATCGATTAAAGTTGACGCAATCTTTTAACTACGCCCATGGTTGAAAGTGAAACTGGTCTAGTTGGTAAGAATTATTGGATTATTAAGGCTGTAGTAATTCAATAATCACCTAAACGCACATGTTCGATTGATAGTTTGTCAATAAATATTCGCTTTCCATCGTTACTTCATTTTTTTTTCGACTTGGCATACTTGCAACTGCCAACTTTACTTACATTTCTATAATTGCTGCTACATTGGAAACTGAAGCACGATCTCTACTTTAAATTGTTTCGTAATTATGTTTACTTTTTATCGGACGATTAGCAATTGTTCTATTTCCCTATAATAATCGAGCTCAAGCTTGCCACAACACTTTTGTTGTTTCAGGATAATAGCGTTTGTTTTCTGCTTCCATTATTCGGCATGGAAGCCTTTTGCTATTAACTTCCTAGATCGGGGATTATAATCAAAACTGATAGAGGCCAAGTTGAAAGGTGGCTCTTGACCTGTTTTGAACAAGATATTGTTCATGGTTTACCGACCATCTCTATCTATCTTTGCTCATTTGTTAGTGTAATTTGGGTTATAAAACCCTGAGGATTTTTGATTTGATTTTTATTGTTTAATGGTTTTACAAGTTTTTCATTACATTATTCTTACAATTGGTTATGAATATAAGTTACATGTGCTCGATTTCACTTGTCACTTCTGTCTTTTAAAAACTGTCTTAAATTCGCCAAGCGTCCCAATGTGGCAACGTTGAGAGGCGCGAACAGTTAGCATTAACTTTTTATGTGTTTTTCCTAGCTGCTACGCTGCTACTTAAAAATTAATGCTTAGGTTCATAACAGTTTTATTTTCACATTGAAAGTACATATTTAAAATGTAGAAATGCACAGGGAAAGTTGTTGGAAATAAATTTATTTCTGGATATGACAAATCGCCTTGCAGGTGGTGACAGTCTATTGACTATTGACGCCCTACGCTTAAAAGGATTCAGAAATTCAGGGATTCATACTGCTTGCGAAAATAAGCACAGAATTCTCGTAAAGGCTTTCTGATGTATTCTTTAATACAGTTGCTTGCATACTGCAACGAGAGTGCTTTGATTGATCTATATTATATAAAAACTATATTAATAAAAAAAGGAGCGCCAGTTTCATGCAAGTTGTCTTGTGTATTGCTAGAAGCTTTTCAGCTTTTCCGCCGTAAAAACTTATTTCCCACTTCAGCTCCAAAAATTAATTAGTTTAATAAATAAGTTAAGTTAAATTCCGTCCAAGTTTGGCAAATCAAAAATAAAGTCAACAAAGCTATCGCCATTCCAAACCCCAGCTGTCCACCTAAATCCTTTTGGAACAGTAGAGGAAATATTTCGAAAACTATTGAATATTTAGCAACTAGTAGAGCGACATGTTAATAATAGAACCCTATCTTCTGAAAGGAAAACAACAAGCTGGATGGGCCCTAGTGTACATTGTTTGCTTTCTGCATTGAATTTTCCTTTCCTCAATATCTCTAGAGATATACATGTAGAATTCATTATTAAGGTATATCACCGCATCAGACTGTCCTGGAACAACATCAGGCAAAATCTGGAGAACAAAACAATTGGCAAATTAAGATCAAGCGCAAAGGGCATGTTAATTAAGTCCATGAATTAGTTACAAGCATGTCTTATTATAAGCCGACCCAGAACAATGGGATGTGGAAACTGTTAACCGGGCTTATTAAAAATTCATTTCGTATTTGTTTCTTTTTGCTCTCCGATTTTTTCGGAGAATTAACAATTTATTAATCCGGAGGCCCGGGGATATTAGGTCATGCGTCTTCATAACATTTACAACGGCTGTAATTAAACTGTTAGTTGGTATATAAATTAGAATTCAGGTTGGAGGAAAACACTTTGGATACTTGCGAATTAACTATGAGGTGCGAATAAACATCAATTCGCTTTCAGTCTTTGAGTGACTGATGGGAGTGGGCGATTTTTTGAAAAAGTTGTTAAAACAAACACCAATCTGGGATATAAACAAGTTGTAGAAAAAACGTCACGCCAATGATCAAATAGTAAGACTGAAAGATTCAATATTTACTGAGACTAAAGCTGCAGACATGGCGGAGAAAGCGAGACCTTGAAAGACGTACAATACGAAACAACGAGATAATGTGTGCTCTTCTTGGTTCGCCGCATTCTTCGCACATGAGTTTATGTTGATTCTTGGGGAAAATAGGTTCGGTATATTGCACAATGCTTATTAAATCGTCATTGGTTTTAACATCTGTTTCAGTCATGTTGGTTTCGATATGGTTCCGGTTAGCAAAAGCACCCACATGGTTCATAAGAGATAATTTACTTCATGCCATGTGCTGCGCTACAGCTAAAAACTGCACTTTCTCAACTTCAATTGAAATTAAAACTCTGAAACAGCCAGTAGCTTGAGATATTTAAATATTTGCATTAAGTACGAAATTACTTCGAATAATAAAGCAAATAGTAAATCCGCTTCTCGTCCAGTCATAGTTCCAAATAATTTAAACGACTATTCTACATCGAGCCTTCATTGGAACCGTAATTAACAACTATCTTCAAAGTTAGCTCACAGAAATAAACAAGGAACTTCAGAAAAGCTGAACTTTCCAATACTTTCATAAATTTATTCGAAAAATACTTGTTTGCCGTCAGAGCCGCTCCAGTAGATTCAAATTTAAATGTCCGATTAAAAAGGTATTTCGAAAGTAAATTAGCGAAACTTTTGCCGCCGTCTTCAGTGTGGAAAATAATAAAATACTTTTTATTTTAAAAGAAAAGTTTTTT